AACAGTGTGTGGGGGGGGGGGGGAAATAACAGTTTGCAGTGTGTTTGGCTAACAGCTCATGGAACTACCAGTGCACACACTGCTGCGTACGTCTCAGCCGCTGCTCTGCGGCTCACTTTTATTGTTTTGACAACGTGTTTGGCTAACTGCTAACAGCTTATGGAACTAGCTAGACACATACTACTGGGTACATGACCACAAATCAGCCGCTGCTACGCGGGCAGGCAGCTTGGTGAGTTCAATTCAAAATGCTATGAAGTGTATATACAACGACTTCGAGCCATTTGCTTGCATACATTGCTGCTTGTTTGAATGTGTAAAGTGTGTTTTACAACTCTTTACAAACCATTGGTTGCATACATTACCGGTTGTAAGTTGGCTTACCTTTATTTTTCTGTGCGGTGTGTTTGGCTAACTACTGACACAACTACTGGTACACACTGCTGTACCTCAGCCGCTGCTACGTGGGCAGTTTTGCATGAAGTGTGTTTTATGGCAGGCCATTGGTGTCTAGACTGGGGGGGGGGGGGGGGGGTTAGCCAATTGTGGGTTTGTAATCATTCAATCACACGGCACAGCAGTGGTAGTTGCAGACATACCTAGCGGAGATCTGCACTTTACTGAGTTGCTTTGACTGCCTCACGAGTGCCACCCCTGCTATCTGTTGACGCTCTCTCCTCTCTTCTCCCCACTTGAACCACTTTCTCACCCGTTTTCACTCCCATTCTGTGGTCCTCCTTCCTCTCTACATCACCTCCTTTGTGCCCCCCCCACTCTCCCTCACGTTTCAATGGCATCAGGACCGGAGGATGTTGGAGCGGCGAATGGCAGAGCTGGAGGAAGAGCTAAAGGTGAGGAGACGAGTGTTTATCATGGCCGCAGACACTTTGCACGCTTCTGCTTGATGAGCTTGGCTTTAGCTTGTGCAGGCAGCAGTGTTGTGGAGGTACACTGTAGAGATGTTTGATACACCTTCTCTCAGCCTTTGTTCAGGGGGTGTAATAATTGTTTTCTGTTACATGTCATTGATTTGGTTGTTTTCCACATTAATGGATGTTTCTGTTTGTCTACGAACAACTACCTCGAACCCATCTGATCTCTGCGCTCTCCCAATTTTGTCTCATAATTGTCTGACGTCTCCAGTAATACAGAATGAATAGGTAAAGTCCTTTTCTTTAAAGGAATATTTCAGTATTTTGGGAAATATGCTATTGATACCACTTGGCCAGCAGCTGCCTAGCTTAGCTTAGTTTAGCATAAAGACTTGAATTAAAGGGAGACGGCTAGTCTGGCTCTGTCTAAAGGTAACTTCAGTCTCCTGACTAAAGTCTCTGCTGGTTGCAAGATAGTTTAGCAGGCCTCCAATATGACGGGGAGCAGTCGGTCACACCTGGATATTCATATTCACTTCATATTTACTCTACAGAAATGAGAGTTGTATTGATCTTCTCATCTAAATCCCACCAACAAAGCAGATGAACATATTTTCCAAATTGTCAAACTTTTTGTTAAAATGTTTAACATGCCCAGATTCTAGGATGTAAAGAATATTTGGATTATTCTAAATACAGTTTATAAATTCTGTGCTGTTATTTCTAGTTCTCTGCCACCTTCCTTTTTTAGCTCCTCCTGTTTAGGCTGTGTTTTTTTTAACCAACTGATCTGTCTTCCACTTACATGAATTAGGTGTCCGGCCTCCTTTTTAAACTTTATGGTGACAGTTTTGTTAGTAACATTTATTGCATTGATATGAATACATTGTCAAACTGTCTACAATGAAAACTGCCTGTAATATATAATCCTAATATCTCATAATCCAGTAACATGAAAACAAGCAATAAAATCATCATTTTTTTTTTACCACCAGGTTCTGGTTGATTTGAGAGCAGACAACCAGCGTCTTAAAGATGAAAATGGAGCACTGATCCGTGTCATCAGCAAACTCTCCAAATAGACGGAGAGAGAGACACGAAGAGCAGGGAACCCCCTCCCCCCCCTCCCCCTCCCCCTATCCATCCATCCCTCCCTGCTTCCACACATTCCTCCAAGTGCCAAAGAGAGGGAGAGGGAGAGAAGCAGCAGAATGTCCTCTGTACATGAACACCACAGCTTGACTTGGATTGTGATGCCTCTATGAGAACAGCTGGAGTGGCTTTTGTGTGCCTTACAGTCCGTTTGTCACAGGAAGACCTGCAGCATGAAGGCCTGTGGCTTTGGTCAGAGGCTCCCGCAGCAGCAACATGAGCAGCAACAACAGCCACAATGCCCACGGCTGGTACAACACATCGACTACGACTGTGCATCAGGGGAACACTAACGTGCACACACATTCCTATGCGTGCATCACATACTTCCTCCATGCACATTCCACGAGCGCACAAGGCAGCTTTGGCCTTAAAGCTCACACTTAGTATTTATTTTTTTTGTGAACACACTCACGTCACAAATTCACGAATTTACCCTACTCACAGTTCAAATCTAAGGTGTTGTCAAGCAGTAAAGGTTTTGTTGTAGTTCTTTTTAAACACGTTTCAGGCTCTGTCTCTACATTCAACATCGTCCTGATGACGGGGGCAGTCCACAGAACTCTGTTGGGTTATTTGGTCTCCACATGCAAGTGTTTGAACCCACCTACCTCTCCACCTATGCACTTCCCCACATACATTTTTATTTTTGTGACCACAAACACACTTCATGCTCTTAAAAAAAAAAAAAAAAAAAGACCGCAGAAGCAGGTCAGTCGACCACAGCACTTTACTCTGCAAAGCAATGAAAGATGTGCGACGCTTTGCCCGTCCTCCAGACAGACGGACCTATTTCAGAGCAGCACCCTCTTGCTTGTGAGTGGAGGGAGAAGTTACCCACAGCTCAAAGCCTATTATGCTATGGATGGTTTTAAATATTACCATCGATAAAGATATTATTTTCATAGTTTTTCATTGTCAATTTCTCTCTTGCAGTGGAGCATGGTGATGTATATTATGTGTATAAATATTAGTCTTGAATAATACCCCCTTTGAAGTAAAATTCCATGTAGCTTTTCTTCACATGTTGGTTTTCTAATATATTGAATGGATGTCTGCACCCTAATAAAAACAAAAGTGTGTTTGTAGCAACTTCCTGGTTATTGTGTACACATGAATGTCATATGCACCTCTACTGCTTTGTTCACAGACATGTTGATTCAATATTACTTTACTCTTTGACCAGGATGTATCCTAAACAGTGTTTCCTTCCACAACACCGAATCCTACTTTGATTCCCGTCGTATTATTAATGTGCTGTGACCGATGGAGTCGTCAGATTCTGCCGCTTCACCCACATTGTATCGTCCCTGCCTACAGTTCTGGTAGCCAGATGTCCTTCATCACTGGTGAGAAGGAAAAAAAAACAGCTGCAACACAGTGAGCATAACGGAGGAAACGGGGCAACACAGATGTATTTACAGTATGTTTGGACTGTTCCATTAATCTACCGATGCTCCCAGGTGGACAGTTCATCACTTGCTTTACTGACGTGATAGAAATGCGAGTCATTACATGCTGGATGAGTGCTCAGTAGACGTCTGGGTAAAAAGCTGTGAGATTCCCGTTGTGTTTTGAGCTCTTGTCCGTTTGGACTAAAGTGTAGTTAACACCAGTCATCCATCTGTTTGTCTCATCTGAGAGCAGAGAGATGGACCACTGTCCTGCAGGGTAGAAGTACTGACGACAAGCTGCGCTCCTAATAAGGAAGGGCAGGCTGGCCGAGGCGCTCTCTCTGTAAATATCCCTCAGGTCTGAGAACGACGGAGGAAGAGGGAAGCGGATGGATTGCAGCCTTATATGGACAAAGCACTTCTTTTCCCAGGGTTTGTGGCTCTGACCCCCGGCATGTTGCCAGATGTTACACAAACAGCTCCTCGGCGCAACCAAGTGGTGAAACTAGTGAAATGCTACAGTTGAGCTCACAGTGAGGCAGAAAACCGTATATCTTGTTGGATGAAGAGAAATGCTCATATGGTGAAATGGTATATGCCAAGCCTTACAAATGCCAGGTCCTACAATTCCCACAATGCATCTAAGTATTTTATTAAACCTTTCTTGTCTGTTCAATGCCCTAATCTTTCAAATTCCACATTCATATTTTGTATTCTTTTCTGTCACAAATTTTGAATCCTGACATGACGGGTTATTCACCCAGAACATCATACAGTTGTCTCACAGGTTCAGCAGTAATGTCATGATGATAAAACTGACCTTTACATGTAAAATTGGTAGAGCGCTCAAACTTGCACCTGGGGCCGGTAGTATCCCAGGAATACTGGGTGGTGTTCATCAGAGAGACTCTCAATAGCGGCCTTCTAGCAGGTTTACCAGGGGCCCACATCTCTTAATAGGCTGTACCGTGGCTTTTATCCCATTCAAAATAATAATAATAATCATTTCCTGAACAATTTTTGCCTTTACAGTAGAGAAATGAGGGTAACAAGAGAAATTACATATGCAAACAGAGGATGTTGCATTTCTTGGTTGGCAAATGATCGTGTGAATTGGTTGAGTGAGATGTAAAATAAAAGAGCTAATGGTAAGAAGGGAGTTTAGAGCGACTGGTGAGCAGAGGGGAGATGGCATGATTTAGTTTGGAGAGAGTGACGTGATACTTCTTGGAAGAGATGGGATGGAAATGTAAACACTGTAACAGTGACCTACAAAGTATTTTTACAGTCTCAGCCAAGTGGTCCTGATGCTTCAATTGTGAATATGTACGCACATGTGGCAGTAGTTACAGCCTGTAACAAGACTGACCAACTGTAACTAAAGTGTATATATATATATATATAGTTAAGACCTTTTTCTTAAAGCTGGGAGTTGACAACATAAATACTTGTGTTCTTGACATTCACTAAAAATCGACCTATGATCCAGTGAAAACTGCACTGCTGGGTTTACACATACTCTGCTTTATCCTCTACATTAAATCCATGCCATGTTTTCCAGCAGACCCATAATCTTGTCCAGGTTTTCTCTGCAGCACAGAGGGCTACATGGCCTCCTACAGTTTTAAGTACGACACTACTAACTTGGACCTACTTTATCAACAACATTTGAGTCCTTTGCTTTCAGTAGACATGGACTCCAAAATGAACTACAACACATGAGCTCTTTTTTTTGTAGGTTAAACAGTTAAGAACGAGCGCTTTGGGACCTTCTGCAGGTTTTATCTTCAATTAGCTTTTTCAGCATTCCTCTTTGTTGCAGAAACAGATGCTTCTTCCCGTTTAATGTATGTTGAATTATGTATGTTGTATATTATTTATGCAGGCTGTTGAATGCAACACCTTTGGTTAACTTTCAGGAGTGGTTTAGCTTAAGCTCTGAGATTGTATGTTTATTTATTTGCCTTCAATGTAATTACTAGTTTAATGCTTAATTACTGAGGAATTTGAGTCTGTTTTTGTTTTGTTGGATGAGTGGCTCCTTTTTAAACTTTCTGTTCACATAATTGCTTCATGATGTCTTAGGATGGCACATGTCTTGTGACTCAAAGGTGTCAAAGTACACATTCCACAAATAGCCTTTACAGGCAAGAACCTGTGAAAAGTGTGTGTTTGGTTCCACAGTAAAAGTTTCCAGCAGTGATCTCGTGCCTCATACCCATGCAAATTGAGATATTTTAGTTTCGTAATATTGCATAAATACAGCACATAACCATAATAATCTCAATGAGGCAGTGTATTATTCCCATAGAGAACTGATTTCAAAATATAGATGTTGTCAGACCACGCTAACTTGTATTATGTGAAATAATTATTCACTGTTGAAGAGCTGGGACCCTCTCAACGAACCCTGACTGCATTGGGGAAATCAGATTTCCAACTGAACACCACCTCGTCACCATGTCCTATGATGAAGACCCTTACATCTTCTCCACTGACGCTCTACCCACTGACCGCCGCTTCCTCCCTCCACTAGCCAATGGGCTGCTGGGATGGAGGGTGTACAACAATACCATGCACATGGGGGGTGTGTATAACGGGGAGGGTGGACGTTGTCACCGTGCGGATGTCCCCTGTCCTCTTGCTGTGAAGGTTCAGATGAACGCACCAGCCCAGCACACCTACAGCCTGGACACCCACACAGGTAGTCTCTGCAGTGTTTGACCGTCTGATTGCAGGAATCTGTGTTGTGAAGAATTATCACGACTAATTGTATTGTTTTCTCATCCAGGTATCTTCACCCACAGCCTGAGCTCAGCAAGTGTAACGGTCTCACAGTCTCTGTATTCACACCGATACTACCCTAACCTGATGGTGATGGAGATTCTGATGGTGCGTCAGGTGACCTCAGAGGAGCCAATCACTGTGAATCTGTTCAGCTCATTCACACCTCAAAGCAAAGACATTGTTTTCGAGTCGTGTCCTGATTACAAAGGGGGAAGGTACGCTTCACAAAAACATCTGTAAAATGCACATTTTGAACTGCAGTATGAATATGATGTCTTACACAGTCTACATCCCACTCTCCCTCAGTCACGTCCAAGGAAAGGTGACCACTGCTGAGTTCCCAGGAGGTTCCTGTCCGTCAGTGCACCTTATCTGGACCCCCAAACCCCCCACTCTGACACTGCTTCCAGAACAGAGCCAGGCTCGCTGGGCCTTCATCCTGGTTGTGGCCAACAGTTTAGACACAGCTGAGGCCAATTATGACGAGGGCCTGAATCTGATAGCCTCTGGTAACCTGCGTCCGTCTCACGAGATGGCCTGGAAAGAACTGTGGCTGCAGAGCAAGGTGGAGGTGGCAGGGTCAGAGGGCCTCTGCAAGGCTCTGATAGGCTGCATGTTTTACCTCCTTAGCGCCTTCCCCTCCATACATGACACCTCCAGCTCTTTTGGTGGAGTCAGTCCAGGCGGACTGTCTAATGGTGGGGATGGTCAGGACTACTGGGGACACATTTTCTGGGACCAGGTAAGGCATGGTGTCAGTTGATGGCTATGTTATTTGCATGTTGTTGGTTTGGGTTGTATGATGTATCACACAATGATCCCACCTTCCTGTGACAGGACATTTGGATGTATCCTGCCATAGCCCTCTTCTATCCAAAGCTAGCCCGATCTGTGCTGGAGTACCGGGTGGGGACCATAGATGGGGCAAAAGACAATGCCCAAAAGCAGGGCTTCAAGGTACGATCATCAGTGGGATACTCCATCACCATCACAGCTCTTCTACCCTCACTGACTATGAGTGCACAGCTATTCAGTGGGATAAACACATTCCTAACAAAGTTGAAGAGAAAATTTGGTCTTTGTAGCTTTTCTTTACTGGGAGCAGTTGTGAAACTGTGAAAACTTTAGGACAACACATGAGAAACTCAATGATAGTAACAAATCAGAAAAGGATGCGATACAATACGCAAAGGTTAGAGCATGTGTGTTGTAACAATGAATTTTGTACAGAAGCAGAACCAGGAAGAGGTTAGCTTAGCTTAGCAGCTTAGTTTAGCGAAAGACTAGCAGCAAGGAGGGAAAGCTAACCTGGCAAGATGCAACACGTCAATCAGTAAGCTTTATGGGTATATGCATGCATTTAGTTACCTTTGTACAGAGCCAGACTAGCTTCAGGTCTTTATTCTAGGCTGAACTAATTGACTTCTAGCTCTATTCTTTAAATTACCATACAGACACGAGAGTTGTATCGATCTTCTGATCTAAATCTCGGCAAAAAAAAGTGTATTTTACCCAAATGTTAAACTATTCCTTTAAGTCCCCATTGGAAATACAACAAAATAATTATGCTTGTAAACATAAAAAATAAAGTCTACAAAAGATTAAAACGAGCTACATTACATCAACAGTAATTCAACATTTACAGTTAACTTTACCTAGAATGTTGTACTAGCAACACTTTAGCCTCAAGCGTATTTAATAGCTATAACAAATAGAGTATCTGCAGATAAGAGTAAACGAGAGCGTTGTTGTTTGATATTATATTAGTGTCAGTTAAGCTGCTGAGGGACTGAAACAGACTGGTGGTAACAGTGTTGTATATCATTTAGGGCTGATACTGTTACTCTTTTTCTGCGTGCTCTTGTTCTACATTTTAACAATAACCATGAAAATGCGACTGAGTCTTCTAAAGAAAAGATGTTATCAATACAGGGACTGAAGTTCCCATGGGAGAGTGCTGTATCAGGGAGGGAGGTGTGTCCAGAGGACATTTATGGACAACAAGAGATTCACATAAATGGAGATGTCTCCCTGGCCTTCCAACACTATCTCTACCTCACTGAGGTATACTCTTTTATCCCCACTCATCATAGTGTCTCACCCGGGCCTGTGTGAGGATATTAACTGAGCTCTTTGTTGCAGGATCTGTCCATGTTCACAGAGGGCCAGGGCAGAGAGGTGATCTACGGTGTGGCAGATTACTGGGTTTCTCGAGCATCATGGAACCCCGAGGATCAGAAGTATCACCTCTTAGGTAAAAAGAACATTATTAGAAGGATTATTACACAGAATACATTCAGCTTTACATGATTAACAGGCAAATGATTCAATAGAAGTTAAATTAAAGACATCTGACCTCTCTCATCTACTACGGGAAAAACTCACAAATCACACAAAACATAACAAAGTAGAACTAAAATAGCATGAAGCATTTCCCTTTTTTCCCGTTCAGGTGTCATGCCACCTGATGAGTATTACTACGATATCAACAACTCTGTGTACACAAACGCGGTGGCCAAATTCAGGTACTAGTATATGAATATCTCCCTGCAGTGGATATTAGCTGGTGATTACCAATAATACAGAAAGTTTCTCATTCATCAGTCTCCAGTTCGCTGTAGATTTGGCTGACCTCCTACAACATCCGGCACCAAAAGAATGGCAGGAAGTGGCCGAACACCTCAAAATACCTTTTGACGAGGAATCCCAGTACCATCCTGAGTTCGATGGCTACGTCAAAGGTTACTTTTTGTTTCTTTTGGACACTGACCTTCATAAGATAATCATGTCCATGACATGATGTGAGAATATAATCTGTAATTCTCACAGGTCATCCAGTGAAACAGGCAGACACGGTGATGTTGGGCTATCCTCTTGGACTGCTGATGTCCCCAGAGATCAGGAGAAACGACCTTGAAGCGTATGAACCAGTAACAGACCCTAATGGTCCGGCCATGACGTGGGTAAGACACAGCATGTTGTATGTGACTGTATCAGAGATTTATTGCCAAAATGCACTTAAAGAAGTGTTCAGATCCTTTACTAAAGTAAGAGAAGCCAAACCACAATGTAAAAAATACACAATTTAAAGTCTTGCATTCATAATCTTACTTAAAGCTCAAATCAGTACATATTTGTGAAGGTGGAGCTAAAAGAGAGTGAATATTGGATTTATGACTCCAGATGAATGCTAATGTTGCTCTGTAAATGCTGAATGTGAACAAAGGCAACTGTTTGCTAACACGTTAGTCACGTCAACTTCATAAGGTGATGATATCAGTGTTTATCCAAAGAAACACACGAATGCAGCTTTGAAGTACAAGTATTTACTGCAAAATGTACTCAAAGTACATATACGTCAGCATTTTATTGGATTGGATTTGATTATTACCAAATATAACTGCTAGAGGTGGAGTTCATTTTTGTCTACTTTAGACTGTTGGTGTTTTAATCTGTAACAACTATTTTAATAGCTCATCACAGATTTTGTAAAACCAAATTACGCAAATGCAAATGAACTAGTATCAATAGCTGTCATGTAAATTGGTTTGGTTTTTTAGTTGTATTAGTTGCCTGTAGTGCACATAATTATATGTTTTGCAGTGTCTCCTTGTATTGAATTTAAAAGCCTGTTGTTGCTGTTACTTCTTTATTAATAAGTGTATGTTTATACCAATGCTTTTGCTTTCCATTGTAAGGGTATGTTTGCAATCGGCTGGCTGGAACTGGGGGAGGCTGAGAGAGCTCAACGTTTACTTGAGAAGTGCTACAAAAACATCCAGGGACCGTTCCAGGTGTCCTTCTGACTCACACAGCCACATAATGCTAATAAATGCCTGTTTACTGGATATCCTGTGAATGTGTGATTGTCTCCCTTCACAGGTATGGAGTGAATCATCAGATGGCTCTGGTGCAGTCAACTTTCTCACAGGGATGGGGGGATTCCTGCAAGCCGTGCTGTTTGGTTATACTGGCTTTAGGTCAGTTAACAATGAAAAACACCTCAGTATATACACAGCATGTAGGCAGGGATACAGAGAGTGACATGCTGTGTTTTTTTTCTAGAGTTCAGAAGGAATGCTTGGCCTTTTCCCCACTTCTTCCCAATGGCATTTCTGAGCTCTGCGTCCGTGGTGTGACCTACCTGGGCAGTCAGATGGACTGGCTGCTGAGGAAAGATGAAGTTTGTATCATACTGAGGGAACAGGCCAACAGTGCTGGCAACACTAAGTCCTGTGATCTGCAGGTTGTCCTGAAGGCATCAGGAACTACAATCCCTCTCATGCCAGGTGACACACACACACAAGCAAAGACATGTGATAGATTTTAGTTTTTAGTACAAGGATATTCATCCTTAAATGTGCTGAATATAAATGTGCTTAATATTAAAAAACACACTTAGTCTTCCAAACTACAGACAAATGTTGAATATGAAAATGATACAATACAAAATAATGATAACAACAGTAGTACATTAGTTCATAGGTATGGCACAGTATTTGAGTTACAAAGTAAGAAAGAGTGCAATAATGAGGTAAATTCAGTCTTAAACTGCATGCATGACATATTTTACAACTCCAGAAATCGCACCATCCATCTCATCCAGGGAGAAAATACCTGCGAGATCTCACACTCCCTATTTGGTATCATACCTCCCATAATGCTTACAAAAATAGTGGCTCCAGAGTTTGTCAATAATAGAGAGTGACATACCATTTGTCAGAATAAGACAATGTGATTTCAGTAGACTGTATGTTGGAGTGAATCTGGAGACTGTGGTGGCAGATGTTGCACACTGGAGGATAGGACGCTTCTGGTTTGCAAAACCAATTCATACTCAGAGGAATTCCGTTTCTCAATAATTTGCCAAGATGCTATTGATCAATACACTCTAGTGTAAACCCCACCCCAATCCATAATACATGATATATTTCAATAGAGGGAAGACTGAAAATTACTGAACAAATCCTCTACAAGCCTATTTGTTTGAATTCGTGTGCATGTATTTTTCTGTTAATTATTATGTTGCATCAAGTCTCATGTGATTTTATTTAGTACTGTGTTATCTTAACTTTGCTCCTTGATTTCATACCTCATATTTTTTAAATGGAACTGATGCAGTAACAGATTATCATTGATTTACTAATATACGTTTATATTTTCAGGGAAGCCGGTTACTTTTCCTCGAGGGCCCGGGTGTGTTTGTAAACTGGTCTCGGCGTATTCCTGTTGGCCTCTCTGAAACAGTGACCATGACCCTCCTCATCATTTACCAGCAATTAAAAATATGTTGAGCAAGTTATTTCATATCTAAGCTGCCGTTAAGTTGTATGTTCCCATTCACTCGAGCATCAGCAATCATGGACAAAATGTATGACATTTTTATAGTGTTAGTTTCATGATATGCCATCGTTGTTATAAAACCAATGTTGTATTGTAAATGAGTTATATTCAAATAAAACTACATTTTGTGCAAAGCTTAATTGTCCCTTTTGCTTTCCATCTCTTGAGAATGTTCACCTTGGTGACCTGGGCCTAAAAAATCCTTTGTTGTTTGACTTCAAATATCATGTTTGATTCTGATATCCGGTGTCTTTGTTTAGCAGTCCTACAGTGTGGAGGAGAGGGTGTGACAAAGAACAGAAAAAAAACACTTATTTGTCTTGCATAAAAACTGTCCCTCAAACTGAAATGATTGAAGAACGGAAGATAAAGCTGTCAAACATATGTTTGAGTATCACTGACGGGGCGGCGTAAATCCTGCCAAATACCGGTTGGTTGATTTAAATCTGATCAACACTGTAACTCCGCCCTAAACGTTTCCTTGGGTTCGCTCGATTTGTCTTCACATGTTGGCGGTTTCCCCGCCTCGAGCCATTGCTCTCTATTGTTCCGATCCGCAGGGCCCGCCCTTGCGGATAATCGCAAACAACAAATCGAACAACCCCTCTCTAACGTCACTGAGCTACGCCTTGTGATTGGCTGATAAAGTTTGAACAAGTTAAACGGTTTCAGCGGGTCAGTGGCAGAGGACTGCTGTTAGGTTCAGGTTATTTAGAGTTTACACATAAGAACGCCGTTATTTTAGCACATTTACCTCCACCTCAGTATGCGATCGATTTAGCTGTTAAAACAAGCGGAGCAACGAACATCGGATTCCCCTTTCAGAGACTCGAACATCGAAGGTAACGCCATTTATTTTGACGTCCAAGACTAGTGTTAGCTAAATTAACGTTAGCTGACTAACATCGTAGCACGAGCCGTTTAAAACATTGCAAAGCAGTTATGAAATATAACATTGTTACCAACTAAGTTTGAATAGCGTAACTCTTCCAGTACGTTAGCGGTTACCACAGTAAAAAAAAGTTAGGTTAGCACGTTTTGGTGTTGCATATTCGTTGTTCGTGTTTCATGTTAGCTAAGCTAACGGTTGTGTTGGGCTAATTTGACTACGCAGCTAATTTTAATAACATTAAAACAGTAAGCGTTGTTTTTTTTTTTGTGGACCACATTGTCGTTGAATAGCTACTTTCTGCAACCCAACTCGACCGCGAGAATAGAAGACACTGCGCATGTGCACCATTTAGCTGCTTTTACAAAGACTAGTGAAAATGGATCTGGTATGGTTATGCTAAAAGGAAAATAAAGACTGTTAAAACATGAACAGCTAGTTGGGTCTTTATGACGACGCTTCAATTAATCATTGTTTACATTCATCTCAAGTCTGATCCAGCTTCTCCTGGTTTAACAGTGCAATCTTTCCCTCAAGCCGTCAACATGAACTCCGTCCGGTCATCTGTACGGTCCCTCAAGCAACACTTTGATGGCAAAGTAAAAGAGTTCACCGATGAGATCGAGACTGTCCACATGGTGTGGCTTGTGGAGATCCAACAAGAGGCCAACCGCATGTTTTCAGGGTATGTTTGAAATAATATAAAACATTTGAGCTCTGTTATTTGTTTTCATAAGATTCCATCTTTAGAAATCTGTTCTTCTCTAAAATTATCTTTACGGTTTTACAAGTGAAGCTGTTTCTTTTTATTTCAGAGATTTCATCGCTGAGCCAGAATTAATGCCAAAAACACCATCACAGAAAAAGCATAGTCGCAGGAAGCGTGTGTCCATGGGGCATCAAGAAGAACATCAAGCCAGACGAAGGTTTGTTGCTTTCATTAGTTTTATTAAAGTAAAAGTTTCACATTTTAATTGTGACGGGGTTTTAAAGTGTGCCTCTCTGACTCTTCCTGTCCAGGTTTTCAAAGGGAAGGCGTAGTAACCTCCGTGGCTCCTCTGTCAAATCACTGAACTTCATCGCTGAGGAAGAGACCTTTCCCAACGCGTCCACCTCTGACGTCGACACCACCACCGCACGGCCCAAACGCACCACCCGCAAAAACAAACAAACGGTGTCTGAGGCGGCAGAGGATGCAAGCCAGTCATGTGGAAGTCTGAAGACCGAGGAGGAGCAGAACAAGAAGCCAGAGCAGGTAGAGGAGGAAGAGATGGCCAAAGATAACAAGGTGAACGATGCAGAAGACGAGCCCGACCCCGCCCCCGCCCCGCCCCCACCCACGATACCCTCGCCCGAGATCGTCGTCAGCATCTCTTCCTCGGACCGATTGTCTGCCGAGCGTGCTAACAATCCGCTGCCTTCTCCCGGCCGTACAGCTGCTAAAATTGCAATCGCTGGCGCAGCGCGAAGCTCGCGGAGAAGCTCCATGCGATGCTCCCTCAAGCTGCGTCACTCGCTGGCCGGTCTGCGGCACAGTATGACTCAGGAGTCTGTGCGCCGCGCCTCGCGCCGCTCCATGCTTAAGAGGAAAGGGGCTCGCATGGGCAACTCCACATGTAGCAGCAATGTTGATGGTGAGAAATGACCTGTATTTGGTTTATAATAACATAAAATACCAACCATTAGACATCACACTCTGATTGTTGTTAATCTGGATATTATGTTTGTGGTTGTAGATGACTCTTGTGTGGACTCTACAGAGGAAGAGGAAGAGGACAGAGCAGTGTGAGTAATGACTGACATTTTTCTGTGTATAGGTGATTATATTGTCTTAATGGTAAAAGAAATCATGTGTTTGAATCTATAATTTAAAATATTGGTAACGGTGACTGGTTAATTACTCAGTCACACGTGACTGTACATGCATTTAAAGTTCTTTATATGTTTTGAAATGTTTCTTAAACCTTTAAATGTCTTCACTGCTGTAGTATGTTAGATGCTGTAAGTGCAAACTCTGAGGATAATGCTGCAGCTGAAGAATGGAAGGAAACACCTGAGGTATGAATACATGTCTTTGTCTATTTAAGTGTGAAACGCATTTAATTTGTATTTTGGTTGTTCTTCAACTAATGTCTTTGTTTTGCTTTTTTGTGTAAAACAAATGTAAATCCAGATTAACCAGAGCTTCCGTCCATCTGTTGGCCGCATCACTCGATCTGTGGCTGCAAACTCTGCCACACTGGCCCCCCCGTCAACAGTCAACACTCCCAACAAGGGAACAGGTATGGAAACTGAGCATTTCATATATGTATGCATGTGTGTATATATACATATACATATGCGTGTGTATATATAAAAAATTGATTTGTTTAATTTTATTTGATTGTTGTTGAACATAAACTTGAATTGATATGTAATGGTACTTGTGTGTGATAAATACATGTTTGTTTGTGTTTCAGTTATTGAGAAGCAGCTGACTTCCCAGTCAGGTCGCATGTGAGTGCTGTATATGTGTGTGTGTGTGTGTGTGTGTTCCACTTAATAACTGCACTGGTCAACCTGTTGTTAAATCAATTCTTGTGTGTGAAGGTCACGCCAGAGTACCAAACGCAAAGCACCAGATACTGTAGAGGAAAGTCCCACAAAGAGGCCCTCTCCTCCCAAGAAAAATCAAAGTGTAAGATGGAAGAAAAAACAGTTTTGCCAAGTGTTCAAATAATAAGTGGATCAAATAGTAATCTGTTGGAACTTGTTCCCTTTTCTTATGAACACATAGACAATAAGACCCAACATGAGGTCTTTTCTCCACACTGTGCAGAAGAATCAGATGCTGATGATGACTCCAAATTCCCTCGGCCGGACTGCTGTCATGAAGTCCTTCATTAAACACACCACTCCTCTGAGGATTGACCCCAAGGTAAGCTGTACACCTCAACTCTGTCATACACTGGTAGCAGGCTGGGCTGGACAAAACGCAGTATAGTTCAGTGAAGAAAGCATCAGATTTTGATCTGCTTTATTTATTATCACCGATACGATCCATTAAAACTAGAGCCGACACCATCTCATTGTTTGGCTGATATGATCTTGTCCAACCAAATTCTCACTGGTCAAACAATCACTGGTTTTACTTTAAAGGCGCAGGATACAAGAGTGGGCATTTTGACTGCCTCTCAATGATTCTCAGGACTGCGATGCCTGAGCTCATAGCTAACAGTGTTTACCAGAGGGGCAACCGGAGGGTAGGTGCTCTGCGGGACGGCGTTATGGGGGTATCAATATTTCTAATAGCTTTTTTTAACATGCAGATCCCAGTCGATTGGTTGAAGTGTACGTAGAATTTCAGTCGATTAAGATTATCTTTGACTGCGGTCGTAATTAAAATGTGTCTGGATTTGCAGCGATACCGGACACAACATCTCTTACTGTAAACACATTAGCTGAACACGCGCGTTGTATTGCAGTGAATTGAAAATGGATTGTTTTATACGTGCATAACTCTCCATGGGAACTGAATTACAATTTCAGTTGTGTACGTCCCCTAAAGCCCAAATCTTGTTGGACAAATAAACTAGGAAAACATGTTACAAATTGAATTGCAATTGTTTTGAAATACTGTGGCTGACATCCTTTTGTTTGGATGTGTTTTCTCTCCTCAGTTGAGCGTTGGTATAGTGGTAAGTGTAGTGTGGAAGTACTGAATGTTTGTGGGCGTTCTGTGGTGTCTAACATCCCATCGTGGACCTTGATTGAATGTCTCCTCATGTAACACGCACCTTAGATGAGCCGCTTTCAACAACCCAAACAGCACGTGTTAGTTAGTCGATGGTGTCTCTGATCCCTCAGGTCGACAATGCTCATTCTTTGAAATCTTTTGAACCAACAATCCTATAAAACGGCTTTAGTATCTTCACCGTTTGACTTTGTAAATTTAATCCGAAGTAAAAATCCATCTGAACCAGAAGCTGTGGCACTATTTGGGTTGTTCTTAAAACTCGTGTCAGCGGATTGTGATTTATTGGGTGAGAAGATCACACTGGAATTAATGTCTTTGTCCACTTTTTGGGGTTTGGGTCTTGTTGTACAAATGATTTGTTCTCGTGATCACATGACATTCAGCTACACTTGTAGAGTGTCTGACTCAGTTTATTTGACACAAAGCAGAGAAACAATTGAAATAGAAACCGTGGATATGATGGTAGCCAACTATTGCTTAGTGATGTAGCTTATTTAGAAATGGACACAAGATCTGTCTTCTTGACTATCACTCATCCATTTACAGCCGTCTTTAAAGATCGCTTCTTATTTTAACGGCAACTTCCAGCGAGGTCTTTCTCTACACTTGCTCTGTTGAATTGTCCTCGCAGAGACTAATGATCACAGGACAGTCCAGCAGTGTGACCACAAACTTCTTTAAGTAGGTGGAAATAAATCACAAAGTCTGTCGAGGTGGATTTTTGCTTCACTGGTATGGTGATCTTTTTCCACATGCATGACCTCCACCTGCTCCTTGTATTCCTTTGACATTTGCTGCCTATTAACAATGTGTTGGTTGGTTTCTGACGACACACATTTCCTTAAACCTTTGTCTTCTCTTTTCTCAGACGAAGGAGCGTTACAAACTGGAAGCACTTAAGAAGAAGCAGGAGCTAGAGGAAGAAAGGATGAAGAAAATGGACGAGGAGAAGAAAAGGAAACAGGACGATCTCAAAAGGTTAACGCGCCACATCTTTAATTGCTCAGACTGGACAGTAGTTTGTTCTTGTTCTTATTTAATTTTTGTCTTCCAGGAAGAGAGATGAGAGGCTGAGAAGAGTGTTTGAGGCCAAAGTAAAAGAAGAGCAGCGAGAGGTGGAGAAGAAAAAGAAGATTGAGCAAAAGATGGCGCAGATTGATGAGAAGAATGATAAGGTATGCAGCAACTTCATTCTATTTGTTCACCTCCAAAAAAGATTGAACCCCATATCTAACATTTGGTGTTGTGCAGCGTGTGGCAGAAGACAAGGCCAAAAAGAAGGTGGCCATTAAACGTCAAGACGACCTGGAGCAGAAGAGGAAGTTGGAGGAAGACGCTAAAAGGAAGAAGATTCAGCAAGCGGTGAGACGGCACCGTCTAGTCATTTGTGTTGGGCTTAGTTTGGTGCCGTATATCAAGTCCGTGCAACTGCAAAGAATTTATCTGAGAATTACAGACTACATGGAGCAGAGCAGGCTGTCTCATTGTGACCATTTAGGTGCATTTTTTTTTTTTTTTTGAGACATTGCAACAAAATTTTCAGTTTGTGTCCAAAGTACAAATTTTCATCTGGTCATGTAGCGAGAAGTTGTTTTTTAAAAGTAACTTAATCTTCTTTGACATCACGTTTTGCAATCGGCCTTTTTTCTAAATGTTGTACATGTTTTGTTTTAACTTCAGGAGGAAGAGAAGCGGCAGCAAGAGTTACTGGCTACTAAGAAGGCCGAGGAGGAGGAACAGCGAGCTCGTAAGCTGGCTGAAGCTCGCCGAGCGCTGGAGCAGAAGAGGGAGCAAGAGAGGGAGCTGGAGAGAGAGCGCCTAGCTGTTGCTGAAAGGTTATTGGTGGCCTTTAATACTCCTATCAATAGTACCATACCAGCTGCTTTATACACAAAGTAATCTGATTAGCTTTTCAACACAGTGAAGGCTGCATTAAACTGAAAGCTGCATTGGTGAAAACATAAGTCTGTATTTACTCCAGAGTTTATTTTCCTGACTTAATGTCTGTATTTCAGGGAGCGCGTGGAAAAAGCAAAAGCTCTTGCTCTGCAGCAGGAAGTGGAGAGAGCAGCGAGAGAGAAAGAGAGGAGAGAACTGGAGGAGAAAAGAAAGGCACTTGACAAAAGACTGGTGAGAAATTGAATGTCTTAAACGCGTGTCAAACGGTGTTTGATTTAGCAGCCCAAAACAATTGGTTTTATAGTTTTGAACAAACACATTGACTTCTGAGAACTGTCCAATAAAACAGATCTTGTACTGATGGCCAAAAGGCAACAGAGAACCTGATGGTAGAGAGGAGCTTTAAAAGCAAGAAAGTGTCGAAATGTCTCTGGACAGGGTAACGTCACATCTGGAAAGATCCCTCAATACCTTAATTTACCTCTTATCTAAATATTCTTCATGTTATATTTCTAGCCCATCTCCACAGTGCTGTGTCAGCATTAAAGAAGGGCACAGAATGCAGTAGTGGTGCCCTTTCATAATAGCTAGCGGATGTTAAGGAAACTGTCAGCTGCAACCGCTAGCCAACTGTCAAAATGCATCCAACTCCTGTAAACCCCATAATGAAATTAAAAACTGTTTGGAATTAACCGAATGTTTTGGCTGCTGTTAATAGAAAGCTTTGTGTTCCACTAGGAGGAGCAGCGGAGATTAGCTGCTAAAGAGCAAGAAGTTGCTGCTAAAGAGCGAGAAGCTGCTGCTAAAGAGCGAGAAGCTGCTGCTAAAGAGCGAGAAGTTGCTGCTAAAAAGGCCGCTTCTGCAAAGGTAAACCAGCAGGGGGACATTTACTTTACTTTAGGTACACCTGCAAACGTTGACACAAAGACTTGAATCGATTCTATCCCCAGTGGAGTCAAATGTACCTCTTGATTGTCTCCTCTGTAGGCGGCTTCTTGCCTGAATGTGACTGTGGATATCGAGGTAAGAATCTAAACTGGCCACATCTGGGACTTGATCCCACTCATTGAATAACTGCTTCGTAGTGCTTAATATTCTAAAATCAACAAGAAACCTGTAGGCAACAGTGAAGGGCATATTTACCACTTTTCCTAATTCTTGCAGCGCTCTGTAATGGGCACGCCTGTAGGAAAAGGTGCTGACCTCAATAAGACTCTGGATGTTGTGGTAAGTTTAAATAATGCATTCTTGGCAGATGTTTTGAATCGGTTCCTGTCTTTGAACATTATGGAAACGGTTTTAAACGTGTGTTTTATCCTCCTCTGCAGCGATCGCCACAATCGTACTCCATCACTCCAAAGGGCGGCAACAAACCGTTGCCCAAATGTGGGGACGATTACGGGATGGACCAAAACAGTGACGACTCCACTGATGACGAGTCTGCCCCAAGGAAGCCCATTCCATCCTGGGCCGAGGGTAGGCATGATTTAATACAACTGTCATTTATTATGATGATCCATCTATTTACCCCACCTTCTGTAGCGTTGTTTAGCAATATTTTTCGTAATGCACGAAGCTGAAGTTGACTGTCCAAGTCCTCAATTGTACTATCGTAGTTTAGCACTCATAGCTAGGCCCCGCAGGCCTGCTGACATCAGTCAATTGTAATATTGTGACTTATTCTAAATTGAGTTAATTCCACTAATACATTTTACCAGACCTCTTTTGGGTTTGCACAATGTGATGTCTTAAATCACAACATTGTCTTTAATTTGTTCCCCTCCAGGTCCCAATCTGCAGCAGATCATGATGAAGCAGTACTTCAACCCTCCTGATATAGACACTTTCTTTGGAACAATTGAGCCACCAAAACTGGAAAATATCTTTTACAAGAGCAAGCCTCGCTATTTCAAGCGGACCAGCTCGGCTGTGTGGCACTCTCCTCCCATTGGAGGCAAGTGATGTCTGTACACTGATGCAGATACACATATTATATTGCTGTATAAAGTTTAATCTTTGTTTTAATGTTTGTTTTTAAATAAAGTAAACATTTTCTGGATGTTTAAAGATATATTTTATTTTTTTTTTAGCTGTCAATGTTTTAGGAAATATTCTTTCTAGTATGTGAAATGTATGTCGTGGAGTTGGTGCTTCATGCGTGGGTTTGGACTTGAGCATGGGGATGTTTTATAACTCAGTGGGATGTACCGGTAAACGTTTGGAAGATTTTGCCACATGATCTGCAAGAACTTTCATTTGTATAATGCGTGTAGCTACCGGCTGTAAATTATAATAAAATGTTTGTTTGGGATTTATTCCGGTACATTAAAATGGTTGAACAAAAAAAAATCTTGTGTAGGTTTTTAGATTTGATCGTTTGACGCCCAATAAAAGCTTATACAGCTCAACATTTTAGTCGCTGTAAAGGCCGGTGCACACTTACATTATTTGAACTGATTGGACCGCTTGGGTCAGTGGACTCCTGCATTCACTAAGACAAAAACTAATTTGTCCCGTCCACCAGGTGCTAAAGTTGACAGTCCTGAGAAGAGGTCAAGTCTGTTTAAAGGAGATCACCTGTGTGCATGTAGCAAGTAATTTATTTTAACAGGTTGATATGTAGACTTGTTTGAGCTGTGTCAACACACTGACAGTGAGGCAGCATGCATTACCCCTGATCACTGAAACGTGTGTTTTTGCTACTAAGGCACGTCAAACTATCTGCTTTAAAATGAGCTTACCTAGCAGCCCATGACATAATGGTATGTTTTATTTCACCTAAATAGATTTCTTGTAAAAAAAAAAACTCCTTTATTGATTTATCAGGACTTCTCTGAAAACGGAATTGCTTTTTCAAATCCACGACAACTGGATCTAATCTAAGGAAGATCTGCTTTGATCGAAAGCTCCAGAACAGCGACTAAATCGACTTTGTGGTATAGTTTTATGTCAACTGTATCCTAAAAGGAAACTGACTTGTCAAAGTATACATTAGTGTTCGGTTTAATTCCATGTAAGACATTGCTCAATTTAAATCAAAGATGCTCTTTAATATACCTTTTTCTAATCTTTTAATAGCTGCCACATCAAAGATGTTTATGTGATGGCATACGCTGTGTAAATTTATATTTGTGTGATTCTTAAGTCTTAACTTTAATTGTGTAACCGTCCAGCCTTTTAACCGCTAACAGATGGTCATCGGAGGGAATGTCCGATGATGAATTGATGGAGATCTACTGGCTAACGGTGTCAACTCTAATTGTGAAATTTGCCTTTTTGTTTTGGTGGCCATTCAGTGGTTCATGATGCGAAACAAGTCTTTTATTTTAGTTCCCAAATCCGACAACTTCCACCAGGACTGCGAGTCTGCCATTAACAGGCGGATAAACCTGGAGCTCTATGCCTCTTATGTATCTCTCTATGGTAAGAGAGACTTTCATTCCCAGCAATGCAAGGCGCATCTTTTTTTGGCCCATTGCTCACTGCTCAGTGCTTTTTGTGTCCCTTTAAACTCAGATTACTAAAACATAAAATGTCTTTATTCTTGATTTACAGGCATTCTATTTCGATAGGGACGATGAATCCTATACTTCCACATTTTGTAAAGTTCTTCCATACACAGTCCAAGTCCTCTGCTATTGAATTTCACATTTTTCAAATACGATCCACATTTAGATTATGCATAACTATATTGTTCCAGCAGAAATGCGTTATTGAGGATATCTTGGAGCAAAAGAGAATCTTAAAAATGTAAACAGTTTTTTAGGGTGAAAAGGTCGGTTCTCTATTTGTTATGTGTACATAGTTTCTTTATATAATCCAATAAAATAGTAATAAGTAATTTCAAGACTACATTTTTATTGAAAAAATAAACGAAACATAACATATGATACAGACAAATTATTAAAGAGTGCACTGATGGAAACAATACTGAAAAGACTAGAATATACACATTTTTCTGTCGTTGAGTTTCAGAAGTAACTAGAAAGAGTTTCTTATTTTTCCTTCACATGTTGAGGGTTAAATCTCAAAAGGTCTTACAAGCAGGTTAATTGTTCTATAAGAGCTTAACACAAAGTAGAGATTAACTCTGTGTTTGCGACAAATACTTATCAATTGTGTGTAGGGCTCCAGATGACTAATACGGTCCAGATGTAACATGAATTAGTGCATGTTTGTGTGAAATACTTAGAATGCCACATGTATACAAAAACCACGGTCTGTCACACCTTGTTATTCTCATTCTTGCTCCTTCCCTCCTGCCGCCTTCTTCACGCCACCGTCCACCAAAACGCCCAGCAGGTCCCCTTCAGCCAATGAGATTCCTGAGTCATTGGGTGAGTGTTGCTGATTGGTTTCTTGCTGCGATGGCGCCGAAGTGGAAACGGTGTTCGTGTTGTTGCTCAGCCCACCATTGGTGCCCCCGTTGCTTGATCTCATGTTGGTGCTGAAATTCCCCTGGCTACTAAAATTAGTGTGACTTGTACCGTTGCAGAGACTTCCCGTCATGCCCGCGCCGTTGGTGCTTGTTGCATTAATGCTGCTAGAGCTGCTGTTGGGATTATGGGGATTTGTAGCTGCTGTTCGGGAAGGAGGAGTGAACGAGAACACCCTTTCTCCTCCGCTTCCTGCAGGCAGAGCACTCGGGGGCCCGGGCTGGCTGTCAGCTGAGGGGAGGGTGTCCAGAGTAAGGCGCGGTGGTGGGGGGCGGCGAGACAGCAGGCCATGTTCAGGTCTGAGTTTAGATATTGGGCAGAGTTCAGGCGGAGGGTCTGGGAACGAGAACATAGGGGCACTCTGGACCTCGCCATCCTCACTCAGCCAGGGGAAAGCAGAGGACGGCGGTGGGGGGACGTGGTTGGGGGTGTCGGGGGGCAGCGGCTGTGAGCCCGCCATCTGAGGAGCCAGGGAGCTGCAGCTGCGGTTCCACTCGTTCTGAGGTCGCCGGGCAGGTCGAGGGCGAGGCACCGCGGGGGGCACACAGTGGATGGGTGTTTGTGGGCAGCTGTAGAAACCCGGTCTCTCATACAGGGGCATGGTGGAGAAGGCATAGTCTGGATCTCGCTCGTGGTTGAGAGGCTGGCGGCTTTGAGGTGGAGTTAATGAAGCCTCTGGGTGCAGGTAAAGAGGGAAGCGGCTCAGTGGAGCTCCAGGGCGGCGGCGCAGCAGAGAGACGCGGGAGGAGCGAGGAAAGTTAGGGGACTGGACACCGAGGAGACGACCCAGCCCCCCGAGCAGCGGGGTGGAGTAGTTGGCTTCCTCGTGTTCTTTAATTTGCTCCAGATTGGACTGAAACTCCATCTCCTCCTTGGGAACACTAGTTTAGATGAAATAGGTGGTTATATGGTTCGGAGAGTATTTTTCGGTATTTAGAATTGTCTGCCAGAAAATAAAAACATCACTGAACCTGATATCCAGGGCTGAGCCCATGAAGGAGGGTTTGCGATGTTCAGCGCTGGCAGCAGTGTAGGGAGGCTGAGGTTCACACTCATTCCAGTACATATCCCTCTCCACCAGCGGCAGGCTGTCGTACATCTCATCCACCGACAACAAGGACACCTGAGAGACAACAGAAATCAAAGCGGTAAGAACAAGACAGCCTCTGTCTGCGGCTCTTGTAAAAGTGGCAAATAGATTGAACCCGAACCTGTAAATTGCGATCGACGAGCCAGTTGGTTTCAAAGTCGTCGTCGTCTTCTCCAAAAGGATTTATGAGTTGCTCAGCCACCTGAGACCACGAGCAGAAAGAGACCACAATACAGCTCAGAAGGACAAATGAATAGCATTTCTTGTGCAGCATCAGCGTGGCTTGAACCTCACCTTCAGCCAACCGACATAGAAGAAGAACTGCAGCAGGGTGAAAACAGGCAGGTAGAAGTCCAGATCGTGACCGGAGTAACCTTGAGCTGGATCCAAGAACTGACGACCGATCAGACAAGCCAGGAAGAAGCTGTAGACCGCCACTGTGGCCACCTGGTCATAAAACACTAGTCATGCCTGTTTCACAACTACCTTTGAGGAAACGGTCTCTTGTCAAGTCTTTGCATTATTGTTGTGTACTGATTGTGTTTTGCTCGGTCAGATTTCTAATTTGACAAACTGAGTTAATGATTTTAGGTACACGATGACTACGATTATAGTAACACACTAAATGTCATTCTCTATAGCCCACCAGCAGCCTAATATAAGCTCTGCATCGCCATTAGCAGTGTTATCTCTTTTTAGACACCTAATCATTGCACATTTATCACAACATAAGAACTGTTAATTAAATTTGTTCTATCGCAAATGCATCTAATATATTTCAGTTACAACACAGTATATCAACACAACCTGAGTGTAGACAAGAGGCAGGCTGATCCAGTCGTAACCATACAGCTTCATGCACTTTGCCCGTAAACTATTCAACTCCTGAACAGAGGGAAGAAAGCAGAACAGGCAAATGGGGGGGGGGGGGGGGGCAATTTTTAAAAATGTTTCAGAACGTGATGTCTTGATGCACTTGATGACCTACAGTGAGAATGGCTGTGAGAGCCACGTCGTTGTTGATGCGACCCTCAGTCCGAGCCCTCAGAGCCAGGCTGACGAACCACATGCAGGGAACCCAGAACTTGTTGTGAGGAGAGCGCAAGTCCTCCAGGTGCCTCAGCTCATCGGACGTCATCAAACCTGAGAGACACAAACACGGCATGGAAATAAAGGAATGACACGAAGAGACAAAGCATTTAAGACGTTTCTTTCCATGTTTGTGGTTCTTTACTCAGCCGTTACATCACCAAGCAGTAGCATGTAGCATACAAATAGTTCAACCACATCAGATGGAAATACACTGAGTCTGAACCAGTTCCATGCTGGACCACCTTACACAGTTTTCTTCAGGACTTTTAAATAGTGCAAACAGATTCAGCAGATTTTGATGTTGTTGTCTTATGACTGGCAGGACCTGCGACAGTAAGTTTTGGTGGTTTCATGGCCACGTCGTACCTGCCCGCACCACATGCTCCATGGTGGGAAACCTCTTGTAGACGGCCGTGCTGACGGAGCGGTAGATGAGCACACCAGAGAGGTTGGCGTATCGCATCAGAGTTCGTCGGGTCAGCCTGGAGGCCTCGTCAGTTCCCCGAACATGACCACCCACTAATGCTGCCAAGCGGTCCGGCCAGGGGACGTTCTCAAACTGGCCCCACCAACGGGACACAACCAAGGTGACATAGAAACCTGGCAAAAAAAAGAACATTGCAAGTACAGAAGTGCATGCCAACCTCCTGTGATAGTTTCCAGGAGAATGGTCTTAGATTGAGATTTAGATTCTTGAAACAATCAGCCTCAACTCACCCAGCACAAAAGACACCGGGATGAGCTCTGCATAGCGGTCACAGTATATCGACAGCTTCTCAAACAGCCTCTTCTGGTCATCGTTAAACACAAACCTGGTGAAGGAAACATCTATTGAGTCCATTACAACTAAAACACAGGGAGGTGAGCCCTGTGACACTTTCTGGTCCAACATAACTTTGCTTTAGAAATCAGGCAGCATGTTGCTCCCAACTAAATATTTGCTCTGCCCTCTTGTTAGAACATCATCTCAAATGAATCCGTTTTTGCATAAAGCTTTTCTTGTCACATCAATTTTTGTATGTTGTTGTATCACAAACTGCTTTGTTTCTTTTAAAACAAGAAACGTTTACTGCTAAAATAACATACCAACTTATCCTATTAAAACAAAAAACGTGTTCTCATTGTAACATAAGCATCTTGTAATGACTTCCATATGTTATGAAAATGAGAAAAAGTTATTTTAAAACTTTAAAAAAAATTGTATGTTTTAATAAAGTAAAGCCATTTAATAAAAAACACAAAAATCTTGTGTGGAACATGAAGTGGATCTCAAAATTGAAATGAGAACATTGCATTGTTATAACGAGCAAATGTTTCTTCTGTCATGGTGGCAAAAACGTTTTGGCTCAGCCATGTTTAGAGCCGCTGAGAGGCGATAGAAATGCACGCAATCTCGTAGACATAGCACCTTTAAGTAATGCTGCCACTGGAGCGGATAAATCGGTCCAGGTTCTGATATTAGCCGATACTTATCGTCAATATCGGCCGATAAGTAACACAAAATTTCAATACAGAAATGCCAAAGAATTGCTTAAAATAATTTAGAAACCGTGTCTGTTCAATTAACTAAATCTAAGTGACCCGTAACAAAGATGTTTAGGTACAAAAACAAATATATAAGAAGATTAAAGTTCTGCTATGAGAGTACCTATAAACAATGCTGAAGAAGTAGTAGAGAAGAGTGAAGATGATGAGCTCTCTATAGAGCAGTTTATAAATGCTGCCCTTCCAACGCAGAAGCAGGTGAAAGAAGGTCCCCAGACCTGCATCAGCAACCCTGCGAGAGTACGTTACAGTCATTGCTGCTTGCTGGCCAACTTGCTGGGTGACTGTGTTGTGACATGAAGCAAACCAGTGTGGCTGTGTTCTCTGTGCTTCGTCTCAGCTCAACGTCAGCGATCAACCTGGATCTCATAAGGCCAATTTGGTCACAAATCTAAAATGATAAAGTAAAAAAAAAAAACATATATTTTCTCTACGTACTCTTTAATCCACATGCTTGGTTTCTCTTAATCAACTGACACTGATTTTCCATTTTCTGCACGTTTGAATAACCATTTAAAATAATATGTTTCCTTATTTCATAGATCTGAAATACACCAATACATCTGAGGAGATGTTCGCAGGGCTACAACAGGCAAATGCAACATGCGAGGGCCTCAAACACAAAGCTGTGAAGTTTTTACCTACCACGCAATATGAAAACGTCTGTCCATCGGAGTCACTGTGGCCCGAGATGTGTAGCCGCAGCGTTCGTTGGAATGATGTTGGGAAAAAGGAAGCCGGAAAGAAAAAGAGAGCAGGGGACTCCTACACCTCCGGTCACTTGATGTGTTAATCTGCTTCAGCAACAAAGCTGCATTGTGAGGCCAGGTCCTGTTAATCTGAACAAATCTGAGGACAGCAGAGCGCCCACACTGCCACAAATTGGTTGCTCAAAGGCATGAGTGCTGAGTAGTTGTGTTCACATTTTGGAAATATAACTCTATGAAAGCATTTTACTCAAGGTGGAACACCCAGTTAATTATTTCTGGCTTTTGGTGAACACACGACCGTTTGAACGTATTCTCATTTCTTGATTTCAGTTCACACCTACAGGGAACATTGATTCATTTTTGTTTGAAGTATCATTTGGTTTTTCCTCATGGACACCTCTTGATCAGGTGAGACTGTGTGTCCTCCCCCCTCTGCTGGAAGAAATGTGTACAGCTGTACTCTAACTGGCCAGAGGGTGTTAGTGATTAACCCTTCCTGTCTAACCAGGAGACCAAAAGCAGAGAGAAGTGCGGACAGAGTTCAATCTTGAGATTATTAAAGCACGATTTCAGCTGTTTTGACAGATTTTTGATGCTCCTGCAACAACTGGAGATCAATTTTGAACACTTTGGTGAGTATATTCTGTGCATTTTTGCTGTCCTTAAATCATCCTGGTTTAAGTTTCTCGCAGCTTCTCGTGTATGATACTTTCCTAACTTAAGTTGAAGTAATGTTTACACTGGATATCTCACAAAGAAACACATTCCTTTAGCATGAGAACCGGCAAATAAAAGAGCCTGAGCTCCTCTGGCACGTGTGTAAGTTATTCAAACACTGCAGAGGTCATGACTCGTCCACTGGCTACTGAAAGACTTTGACTGTGAGGTTTATTGAGTGAAACTTTTACTTTTCATGTGATTCCAAATTCCAGGATGAAACTCTTTCTTTTCTGAATTGTCTGTGCTTGGCACCCACAGGTATATCAGGATCACTAAACACCACTAAAAGCATTTGACAAAGTGATTGTAACCTCAGTGGAGACGTCTACAAGTTCCCGAGGAGTATTCTGCACTGCCTGAGAGAGTCATGGATGCTTTTGAGGGAATTCACAGCGTCCAGATTTCCTCATCTCTCCCGTCTTCAACAGCAGCCAGTCCAGGATATGAAGTCGTCAGAGCAGGGAGATCTGGAATAGCAGTATATTCCTCTGCAGTGTTCTTCGGCACATCTGATGCCCTGGGACCGCCAGCCGCCAGACACAAGTACAGCAGGGAAGCCAAGGAGGAAAGCTGCATTGTTGGACGGTGAGTGTCAAAAGATGAGTTTGATTTGACCTGTATGGGTTCAACATGATTGGTGTAGTTTTAGATCATTTCACTTCTGACGAGCTCCCTGTAAAGCTGAGCACAATGGCGGTACATAAAGGATTCAAGTGTTTCCCTCTCTGCCATGTTGGTACCACCTTCAGCTACAGACGAGATGATTATCTTATGTAGCCAACAACAACAACAAAAACTTCCCACATGTGGTTCAATTAGACATGATGTAAAGTGGAACATCGTGAAGATTGATTCTTTTAGAATGGCGACCATCACATTTAGGTAGGCAGCATGTGGTGAAGTCAAATGACTACATATGTAAACTATGTAGTTATTACTTTAACTCCAACAATACATGATGTCGTCTAAGGCTTGTTTCGCATGAAGTCTTATTCTGCATTACAGCCATCAGACTCCATGCAGCATGTTCATAGACTGAGCACACATTCAGGTTTTCAGTCCGTGGGTCTCCTGCGAGGTCAGATCAGGATTAGTTTCAATTGTATTTTTGTTGCGTTTATTAGAGGGTACAGTGGAGAGCTGACAGGAAATGAGGGAAGAGAAAGAGATGAAGGATGATGTGAAACAAAGGTCTCTGGCTGTAGGCAAAGAACTCAAGAGATTTCATTTTGTAGGTAATAGATAAATTATAATATATTTTGTGCTTTTAGTTTTAATTTTTGTTATGTTGCATGATTGCACTACATCTTTTTTTATTTTGATGTGTATTATCAAGGAATTAGTTTGCAAAGGTAAAACATATGGAAACGATATATTTACTCTGTAGGCTGGACCTCCAATTGTGCAAAGCTGGGAACTAAACTTGGGCTTGACCGTGTGTTATTTGTGCTTTAATTGAACATTATATCTTCTGAAATGATAGGGCCTGAAAGTTGCCCCTGCTTTATTACTCAATCTAGACCCCTGTCTTGAAGATTGCCCCTTAGTTATTTTTCTTTTTATTTAGTAATGTGCTTCATGTTTATATGTTTCATACTTAAAGACAGCAGATTTGACGCAGGTATTGCAGCATAAAAAGTAAAGAAAAACTGTACATAATGCACAAACAGTGGGATGCAGCGCCACATTTCTTTCCTTAGAGATCCGTAGCAGGACAATCAGGCCACGATACTCCACTTTGAAATGATTTTATGTTTACTGAACAATGTCTAGGGCTTGACCCCCCTCGTTTCCCTAAGGGGTTATTAACTGTCAGAGCCTCACGTGCTCCCACTTACAGATAAACAGGTACGCGTATCAGGTGTTCGTTTACTGTGGATGTTGGCTCGAGGTTATTGCGCGGTGCGCACTGTTGTGCACCGGCAGAGGACCGGCCCGGGTTTTGTCGGTGAGGGCGTTGGGAGTGGATGCGCTGTCATGTGACCGGTGCGTAAAGGGCAGAACCGGAGTGGTAAGACACTCGCTTTTTTTTCTGCCTGGAAATAAGGACGCGGGGATGAGAAGCGAAACCGTGTCGGCCGCGTCTGGAAAAAGTATTTTGTAAGTCTGCGTTACACTTTTAATAAATCGTTTCTTTTGTTCTCAGCAGATCGCTGCTGCTGTTGTTGTCGGTCGTCTACGTCAGCGTCCGCATTCCTCCGCTGATTTAAAACAGCTGAGGTTTTAACTGAAAGCAGCTAAGGTTAGCTCCATTGTACAGTATTTGTTAATTTAATAACAACAACAACAACAACTGAAGGACGCTGGAGGGGAGAAGCTGACAGACACACAGCCAGGGTGGGAGATTGATCTGCGGTCCCGGGACACTGTCAGGGTAAGGGCGGATACTGAGGGAAACCTACCCGCTGTAAAAAGTTGCAGCGTTAACTGTTAACTAACGACTATAGCGGAAAGCCCCGGTTAATGTTTGTGGGTCGATCACGGTCGTTTTTGCAGCTTTGAGCTTTCAAACGTTTGAATGTTGCGATTGCTAATGCACTAGCAGAGGGTCTAAACCTGTGGTCCGGGGTCTCTCAGAGGTCTCAAGTGATTTCACTGAGAGTGACTCAGAGGGGAAATGATTCCTCATCAGAGCTGTGAATGAAAATGTGTTTATGTTGCCAGACACAATCCTGCTGTCTATTTTAAACTGATGATAAGCAAATGTGTGAATGGAAAACTCCAACACTAAACTGGTTTTATGTTAAAAGTCATAATGTACAATATATAACATAAGGTTGAAATGTAATGTTAATGTTTAATGTGTACAAGAGTTATCTTAAAATAAATCTTAAAGTTAAAAGTAAAATCCTAAAAATTGATTTACATCTGCAGCTCCTTGGCACCCACAATTAAGACACACAATGACCTACAACACAAAGCACACTGGAAAGATGAATTGTGGGTCATTATCATTACATCAACCTAATATCATAGTACCCTGTCTTTATAACAACTCAGTTTTAGGAGTGGACATGAAATCTTTTATGTTTCTTCATGTTAGGTTGGTAGATCTGGATCCAGAGCCTAAGTCCAGAGTGGAGGGAGGAGGCAAGGCTGGGTCTATCTCAGGCAGGGACCATGGCGGCCTCTCCCGGCTTCGTAGCTCCTCGCTGGAAATCAAAGAAAAAGAAATTAGAGAAAAGGGCTCGGAGATCCTCAGGGAACAGCTGGACACTGCAAAGAAGGTGTTGTAACCTACTTTATGCTATTGCACATAGACACACAAAGCATTGTGTGACCTGAAAAAACGTTGACGATGCAAATGTCCTTCCTTGTTATCTGTGATTGTGAACTTTTCTCTTACACAATTCAGGAACTGAAACTAAAGGACAAGGAGTGTGAGCGTCTGTCACAGGTCAGGAACCAACTGGAGCAGGAGCTGGAAGAGCTGACTGCCAGTCTGTTTGAAGTAAGCAATAATCAAGTGATGAGGAAGTGATGTGATGCTGTGACGCTTTACAATCATCTCATGAATTATCAACTCGTCAGCTCACCTCAGCTCGACAGAAAGTTTCAGCCTCTTGTGGTTCATTGTTTTGGTTTTCTTGCCCCAGAACTGCAATAATCATTTAATCCTTAAAAATTCAGAGAATAGTGAAATGTTCATCAAGATTTTCCAGATGTCTAGTTATGTCTGATTGTCTGAAACCCAGACATAATCCATTTATATGGCCCTATAAAATATGTTTATGATCGAAGCACATGTTGTCTAATCATGTGGTTGAGAAATTTTTTTCCACAGTTGCCCAACTGTGGCTCAGTTGTAAAGGAGAGAAGCAGCATGCGTATCATCAAATTTCACAATTGCATTTGTGTTTTCCACATCGCAGAAATCATAGGACCCTAATTTAACAGTTGTATAACGAGAGGGAAGCACCAAATCCTCAATTTAGAGACACTGGAAACAGTGCATATTTGTTTTATTTAATTTTCTTGCACATTACACTAAAACAATTTGTGTATTTTAAAATATGAAATGTACACAGACTTTCACATGTACTTTTAGAATGAGAGAGATATATATATATCTATCTATCTATCTATATATATCTATATATCTATATATATCTATCTATATCTATATCTATATCTATCTATCTATCTCCCAGTTATACTGTACTTGACTTTAAAGTAAACAAAAGCTTGTGTGTGTGTTGTTGTGATATCTTTGATGTTTTCATCACTTATTACTGCCTTAACAGATTTGCTGTTCACAATTAGTGAATTATCAAGAACAACGTCCGATCAAGGATTTCAGACATCCTTTTTCAAAAACCACAGTATAAATGGATAACAGACTTTGTGATAATGTTTCAATCTTCATCGCGACAGGAAGCTCACAAGATGGTGCATGAGGCTAACGTCAAACAAGCAGCAGCGGAGAAACAACTGAAGGAGGCTCAGGGAAAGGTGTGTGATGACGTGTCTCTGTTTCTGTACTGCGGTTAAAACTGTGTCATTTAAATTCATTCATTGCAGCTGAACCATTTTTGAATTGAACTGATGTCTCTTAAAAATTGGCAGCTGCTATTTTAAGTTTATTTTAGATACGTTTGATGTCAGAAAATGAAGTTACTGTTATTGATTTTCCTTCCATCATCAGACTTTTGTCACTTTCCCCATTTCCTTTTTTTCTTCTGTACTTTTACTGCGTCTGGCTCCCAGATTGATGTTCTGCAAGCCGAGGTGACGGCACTCAAGACTCTGGTGCTGACATCGACACCTTCTTCACCGAACCGCCAGCTGCATCCACAGCTGCAGCCGCCAGGAACCAGGGGAGCGGCACGCCACGTCCGCAATAAGAGCGCGAGCGGTGCCTTTACATCTTCACCTGGAAAGCCAGAACCTTCCTCAGTTTCCGTTGCGGCCAAAGAGCACCGAGAGGTAACCTTAATGAAGTTTGTGCATTTGCCCTTTCTTCTTCTTTGTGTGTTTCTCTGTTTCTACCCCTTATCTCTGTTTCCAGTTCCAGTTCTCTTTGCTTTTTTCTTTTCTCCCAGTACTAACCTCTCCTGACTTGTTCTTCCTCTCTGTCTCTGGTCGCTCTTCCTCTCTCAGCCTGCTGTTCCTGCTCTCCTTTCTCTGATACTCTGCCTTGTTCCTGGCCAATCTGTCAGTGTGACATTTGACCCTTACTGGCAGGAGCGGGGGGAGGGGCTGTGCACTGACAGCAGACAGGTAACTGCATCTCTTCGACCAGGCCTCATAAGGGCCCAAACGCCTTGAAAACGCCTGACGCTCTTATTTTTAAGTACACCTATAGATTTAAATGGTCGTACACGCACCAAAAGCGTAATGAGGCATGCCAAACTACTTCAACCTTGTTTAGATTTAGAAAAGTCAAATGAGGACCCATCGACCAAAGCTATCTTTTTCTGCGGTCTAATAAGTGAGTTTTCTATCTTCAGATGGACTCTGTTCTGTATGCAGAGTTTTTGCTGTGGAAGGAGAATCCAAGTGTAGAGCGCTCCTCTGTCTTCTTGAGTCGCATCTACAGAGAAGACATCGGACCCTGCCTTTCCTTCACCAGATCTGAGGTCAGAATCTACCACTGCGTTTGTTATACTTCATTGTTTGAAGTAGGGCTGTCACATTATCACATTTTCACTACACCATTATCGTGGTCTAAAGAATTCATGATAAGAATATTATTGCAATAGCCACGGCAAGTTTGTTTAAAAAAACCCATGCAAATGAATGCCATCAGTCTTTGTTTATTGTGTGTTTAGTCTGTTTTCTGGCAAATTAATTGCACTCAAAATCTTTGTGTAGCGATGTAGGGAGAGAGTAGATTACTTACACGTTATTACACTCCTACCTCCTTCGTTAGAGCAGACCGCTGCTCTGAATAACAGACCATTGCAATTAGGCCTACACTCAATGCGAGTATAGGGATGTGGAGAGAGAGTCTGTAACCGTTTAAGAGGCACTGGATTATTTACATAAAATTATTATATGTTTATTAGACTGTTAACAGGATACCAATATTTAATTTTTTAAATATCACGGTTATCGTCAAAGTACCGGTATATTGCGACACTCCTAGTTTAAAGTCATGTTGACATTATTGAGAACTGTTCTTCACAGCTGTCGCAGCTGGTGCAGAGTGCAGTGGAAAACAACTCTTTGACTATCGAGCCGGTGGCCATGTCAGCGTTACCGGTGGTCAAAGCCTCCGCTATCGAGTGTGGCGGCCCGAAGTGAGTTATCACGACGACATATCATCTGTCAATGTGTCCTCTCTTTCACCATTCACTGCTAAACAATGGCTAAATCAGCACTGACAATCCACTGTTCTTTGGTTTTGTAATTCCTCCTGATGATTAGTGGTCATAGAAGGTGTTTCACTGTCTTCCCACGTATCTGAGAGGGGTTTAATTAACAGGCACATTTCTGATCACTGTCTGATTTAAGATAATCTTTTCTTTCCAGTGGCTTTAGGGCAGGAATAGAGACGTAAGTCCTCTCAGGAACAATCACTTGCTTTTCACTAACACAAATTACTACAGCATGAAGTCTGCATATCCAGGCGTCTGAAAGGTTGTAAACAAATCTGTAAATGAATGACTTCTGCATGTGTGTGAATATATATTAATGAACCTTTTCCTCTTCCAGTGCCTAACTTTCTCTGATTGTGCACTACTATTTTATTTTTTTTATTTTTTGTGCTGTTTCTCTTCTAAAACGCTTGTGTCTGGAATGTGTTTTCACTTAAGTGTTAATTCAAAGTTGCACAAGTTTTGTTGTTAATAATACCGGAAGGGATTTTACTCGTGTTGGCTGTGATTAAACAGTGACAAGTGTGTATTCACGTGTTGAAGCTGTAATTGTCTGACAACTGATCTTTCTGTTTGTAGAAAATGTGCATTAAGCGGCATGTCGCGCCTCTGCCGCCATCGCATTAAACTTGGTGACAAGGGGAGCTACTATTACATCTCTCCTTCCAGCCGAGCACGGGTAACTATCACTTCGTCTCTGTAACCTTCAGTAGACGCACATCTGTTAAGTGTTGCTACATGTGACCTGGTCCGTATCTCACCTTTTCTAGATCACAGCTGTTTGCAATTTTTTTACTTATATCCGCTACATCCAGCAGGGTCTGGTGAGACACGATGGTAAGTTAATACTAATGTGTATTTTAAATATCATGTTATTTTCTTCGTATGAATCTGTTTTGCCTCCTTTGACTCTTGCTTTGCCAACAAGGGTTTTATTCAGGCAGCTGACGTGTTGTCTCTTTTCTTGTTGTTGCCTTCTTTGCCTTCGTCCAGCGGAGCAGATGTTCTGGGAGGTGATGCGTCTCCGCAGAGAGATGACTGTGGCCAAGTTAGGTTTCTACCTCACTGACCAGGGCTAGAGGACCTGACAGTCCACTGAAACACCCGAAAGGACCGCATAATCCCAGGACCTTGATTATTCGAGGTCAGGGTGAAACTGTGGTAACTAGCAGTTCTTGGATCAGTTTTTGTAGCAGGGATTGTACAGAATTAGTGCTGCAAGCAGAGGTTGATCAATAAGGGAAGTAGAAAATGTTCATGTGCCACTTTTATGCAATATGACAAAGAGTTAAACCAGCACAGCTAGAAAGAAGTGACATAACATGACTTTAAAGATGGTGGTATTCCCAGATATGTAAAATATATTTTCTGTTATACTGCAGGCCTCCAGTAATTCTCTCCACCAGTGAGGAGAATTGTTACTTTTTCTGAACCTCCCCGGCGGAGTATACACAACTTCTCATGTTAATACAAATAGACTCTAAGTTTCATGTTCCAGGCGTTAGTCTGTTGAAAAGATGAGCACAAAGAATGAAAGCAGTGTAGAGACTTTAGTTGGTCTCTTACCTCAAGTATTACATACTTGTATAACTATGTAATGTAATCATTCTCCTGTGGGATTGACAATATCCATGTGGTTTCCACAGAACAATTATGTGGGTTGTTTTCTTTATTCTTACATAAATATAATGCTCACTAGCATCTCTTAGTTCCTTTCATTTAGCGGCTCAAAGACCAGACATTTGTCTCAGCATGGCCTTCATTTTGTTGATGCACTCTTGCACTACTTGTTCTAGATGCCTTGTACAAACACGTAAATGAAACGGCTTCATGTAAGCCTGACCTTCATAATCCAAAATAATGTTAATAACTTAGTTATGACACCTCCACACTCAAAATAGTGACTGTTTTACAATATAGTCAAAAAATGAACACTCTTCAATAGAAGTGATTGCAATATGCACAACTGTAGTTTTGCATGTTTGCAATGAAGAGTATGTACATGTTAAAGCCATAAATTACTTTGCATGAATGTAGTACATAGCCATATTATACAGTGTATATTGGTTGTACTTCATAGAATAGATTTATTGTTATTAATGTCCAATTTGTACAGAAACGGTCCGTTGAAGGTAAAAATTAAGAATATTGTGTCAGAAAGTGCAATAACTGCTTCTTGGCCTTCTTTAGGGCTTCGAGGTTCCTAACCTGTGTACTGATAATTAAAGCACTCCATTAAAGACGAGGCATTGTAGCCTCACTACATCACCTTCGAAGTGTGTGTGATTTATAGGTCTCGTTAGAGCAAAATCTAACAGAAGATAAATGAATCAGCTGGTTTGATGTCGGCTCTTTGTGGCCTTTTGTGAAGTTTACACAAAAGTTCGGGAAAGATGATGCATCGCTGTAGTTCACTTTAAATCAGGGACCTATTTCTCTCAGGGCACGGCGCTGACTTGGCTTTAGATTAAGGTCGTCACTAGGAACATGGTTACCCCGATACCAAACGCTCCGAAGCACACAGTTACTTAACGGGTTTGTAAGCAGGAATAAGGCACGGGGATAGAGAGACGATATCCCGCTCAGAGAGGCTTTATGGTATGAAAATCTGTTTCTGGAGCAGACATTCCAGTAAGATTTTCGTTTCCGGATTGAAAGGACTTTGGTAAACTTGTTATTCTGTTTTCATGGCCTCATCATACAGATTACAACCTGAATAAATTGTTTGACTTGGATTGGTGAGTGACATAATGTGTAGTCAGAGGACAAAACATGTGATCACATGAGCAGGTCATGCTTTATAGTTAGTAGTTATCTACAACAGGGATACTTATTAATGTAAAACGTTAGTCTAGCCTTAATGTTGTAAATTAACAAGACCAAATATTCTACTATTATATAGACAGAAAGTGCAAAGATCAATACATTTGCAACTTAAAATAATGAAGACAGTATGATAATCAAATAACATGCTTTAGAGGAACATTAAAACAAACATTGACCAAACTCTTTTTAACTTTTCCCCTGGCAACATCCGGCATTGACCAACTCTTCTTTCTTCGGAAAATATCTGCAACAGAGATATTTAGTTATTCATATTTAACTTAAAAACTATTATGTTTTATTATGTTACAGGGTGAATGAACAATTTATAGAACATGTCAATTTACTAAATATGTATGACTTTAGCAGTGGTGGAATGTGACTGAGTACAATTACATGTAAGTGCAGTACAAATCCAAGGTATGTGTACTTTAATTTACCTTTTTATGCAACTTTACACTTCTACTCAATTATATCTCAGAGACAAATTCTGTACTTTTTACTCCAGTGAATTTGTCTCGTAATTGCAGTTATTGGTTACTTTTCAGATTACAATTTTTCATGCTCTTACTGTCACTGTAGTGAAAACCACGTATCCACATTTGTAATTAGAAGTTTTCCTTCATGGGTTCCTTTTAATTAAATTCACTATTTAAAAACCCTCTTGGATCAGCTGAAATTGTCACAGCTGTTCTATTATTTGCCTTTTCCCACTTAGTCATTATATCCATATTACTGATGATTATTTATCAAAATTCTCATTGTGATTGTGGTCAAGCCTACAATATCATCAGAGTATTTACTGACTTATTTCATATCGTAGAACAAAACGTAAAAAGTTCTTAAACTTGAGTTATCCACAATCCTTCATTCAGGCATTTAACCAAAAACCCATTAAAAAAAACCCCATTGGTTTCAAGACGAGGGAAACAGAAGTACAACAATTCCTTTGTAGCAGTGGCAAAGGCAGTCCTTTAGTATTTGTATAAAATAACAAAAACACCTGGACCCATTAAGTCGATTTGTACCTCCAGTGTCTTACCTTCGACAACAGAACATGATCATCAGCAGAGCCGCCACACCACCGATCACTACTACCACTGCAGTGACGACGGAGACGACGGACAGCGAGGAGGGTTCTGCATCAGTGCACACAAACATGAAGGTCCAGGATCAGAAGTAAGAGATGTTTTTATGCTGTGCATGTTTAAATGACTCTCAGCAATGTAAGGACGGACGGATTTATCTACTTTTCAAAACAAAAGTTACAAAGTACTTAACAACAAAAGCATCTGGCACCAAATATCAAACGGGAAGAACGTGCTAAAAGAATCTTCAAATACTCTGAACCAACCTGAGCAAATAAAGGAACCGGGTATGTTGAGACACTCCAGATTTAGTGGGCAGACAGAAGTTTGTTCTATACATTCATTAATATCTGCAACAATCAGGAAAACACACTGATATGAATGACACGTGCATTTTGTAGCTAATCGCCGGTTTCTCACAAAAACAAACTATTATAGTTTGGTAATAGTTGACAAAGCAATTTCACCTCAAGAGTAATTGAGAAGCTCTTCTGGAGCTTTTGATCACATTTGAGGTTGTCCCCTACATGTTGGCTTTAAAGTTGAGATTGAACCTTCACTCTTGATCATGTGTTGAGATGATTTAGTCGACTACGGTTTCCAAAGTCAATAATTAACTTCATGTAGATAAGAAGCCATTAAAGTGCTCAGAGAAATAGAAATGGCTACAATTTCCTGACATCTGGGAAAACTCCCATCTGCTGAGGAAGATCATGTGATGTGCTCAAAAGCTCCAGAAGACCTTATGAATGGACCTTGTTGGGGGAGAGTTTTGCTGATTATTGTTTCCAAGATCTAGAAAAGTTTTGCTTCACATCTAAATCTCAAGATCACCATCGTAAGATTTTGTTAAATGTGATTTTCAACACATAAACCATATTTTGCTGCACTGGTCTTAAAGAATCTTCATCTATTCCAGCCTTGTCACCAGGCCCTAGTTTAGTCTTCGTACCTTGACACGTTGGGGGTGTGGGGCTCCACTTCTGGCTGTTTGGATCACAGCTGACAGACGACGATCCCAGCAGCTTGAAGCCAGAGTGACACTGATACAGAATCACAGAGTCACAGAGCAGGGAGTAGCCAGATTGAATCCTGGGTATCGGACCACAGTTGGGATCTGTAAGAGAGGGCAGACATGTCCATGTGAAAACACAAGACAGACCTGATATCACGTTGTTTTCTTTTCAACTTCCTCACCTGTGTCTGGTTCTTTCCAGGGGCTGAGGTTGAGGTGGGAGATCAGCGGGTGCGAACAGGCCAGCATGTCCTCTGGCCTCTCGGTACGTGAGAACGGGTCAGCGGGGACATGAGTGATGTGGCTGTTGTCACAAATGATACGAGACAAAGAGACGCCGTGGAGGTGTCTCCTCTGGGTGCTGGTGAACACTCCTTCTCTCTCCCACCAAAACCTGGGGAGACGAAAGACAGTTTCAGATGTCTCTTCTTGCATTTTAATGGTCGTAATGTTACATTGGAGGAGTTGGTATCACCTGTCCCCATCTCTCAGCGCTATGAACTGTTTCGCCAGCAGGCAGGACAGCAGTGGTCCGACTCGGCCTCCTGGAAGAGCGGGCTCAGAGATGGCCCCGACCCACACATCGATGTTGTGTGGCGTCCCGTAGAGGAGCTGGAGTTTGTGAGCCAAAGTGAAGTTAGCCAGAATTTCGGCCAGTTCTGATGTAGTATTGGGAACAGAGAGGCTGCAGGACTTTCTCCATGAGCCGTATCCTTGTGGGGTGAGATGGGACAGGAAGTGAAGGGGAGCATTAAATACCGGGTTTCAATTACCTGAGACAAAAAGTACCTTTACTAAACATCCGAATAAAGGAACACGGTTCACTGACAACCAGGTGCAAAAGACTCAACATTCTACTTGAGCAAACACCGTGTACTGTATTTAAAGGCTGACTACAAACTCTTAACAACAACTTGTCTGAACTGACGAGCAATGTTTATTCAAACATCTACTACTGGACTAGTGGGGATCTGGAGCGCTAATTAAAACACATTCCTACATCTGGAACTGGTTCATGAATCAACAAAGTCTTTCAGGGCAGACTGTTTTATGACATATGAAAGTATGACATTTTATTAAATACTTTTCAATGACATACTCTACTGACTTTTTCCCATACAATAACTGTTTTATTACATTTTTATGACATACTGTAAAATAACAATAATGTCAGGAAGTAAAGTGACATTTTTTTATCAACCTGACAAAATTATGTTCTTGTGGAAAGAAAAGAAAAGGCAACACTGTAACTTCTTTACATTCTATTAGAATGTAAATAAGTTACATTGTATTAGAATGTAACTTATTTACATTGTATTAGAATGTAACTTATTTACATTGTATTAGAATGTAAAGAAGCTACAGTGTATAGAACAGGCATGTTCAAAGTCCGGCCCACGGGCTAATCACGGCCCGGGGTCAGATTTTATATAGCCCGCACCTTCTGTCTTAAAATGCATTATTTATGGCCTGCCAGCACAGTCAAAACGGAATGAATAAATCATACAAATTCAACATGCAATTCCTCCTTTTACCTCGTGGTGGCAGCACCACTCTGTAACTGTCTGGCTGTTTGAAATTGGCTCTGACCCTTGAACTGTCATGGCTATGGCAAGTAAAAAAAGGAAAGTCGATAATGAGGGTCGCTGCTTCCAGGAGAGGTGGAGTTCACAATATTTTTTTCACCGAAAACCGAAACAACTGTGTTTGCCTAATTTGTCATGAGACTGTTGCCTTTGTTTAAAATAATGTCAGCAGGGACTGTTGGCCCTTGGGCATTTTCACATTATCAAATCTGGCCCTCTTTGAAAAAAGTTTGGACACCCCTGTACTATATGATGACTTTTTTATGACATAATAAAACTGATGTTTTTTCATACTGTACTATGATTTTTATATGACATGAAAAGTGTCATAAAGTCATAGTATATTAATTCATAAAATGTCAACAAAAAGTCGTATAGTGTATAGTATTTTATACAAAATGTCACATTAACTTATATAATATAAATGTTATAGTAAGTATGCCATAACAATGTCATAGTATGTTGTATAAGGTCATTTTTATGCCATTTAATTTATGTAACTGTTTTATGATATACAAAAGTAAGACATTTTTATTAAATACTTTTCAATTACATACTATACTGTGACTTTTCCAAAACCTTTTTTATGACATACTATACTATGACTTTTCTATTATATTTTATGACATGCTAAATTTAATTTATTATGACATACAATACTGACATTTCATGAGAAACCATAGTATGACTTTGTATGAGATACTATATAATTACTTTTTAATGTCATTATATAGTATCTCATACACACGAAATTATGATTTTCTTATGACACTTTTATGACATACTATGATATTTTTATGACATGAAACGTGTCATAGTAAAGTAAATCATTAAAATGTCATTAAAATCATATTTGACATACACATGTGTATTATGCCATAACAATTTCATAGTATAGTATGTTATAAAGTCATTTTTATGACAAATTAAACTATGACTTTTTTATGAGATACATTAGTATGACATTTTATGACATACTATGACTTTATTATAATATAATATACTACGACTTTAATAATATTTGTATGACACACTGTAATTTCTCGTCCTGCCTCCTAAGTTGTTTTCTTATTTTTTCCTTTGTCAGTATTTCCTGTTTTATTTTGTGTGACTTACCTCTCCTCTCGTTTCAGATAACTTCACTTCCTGCCTTTGTGTGTTTTACCGCTGTTGTGATTGTCTGACCCGCCCCTGATTGAATCCACCTGTGTCTAATCACCCACAACTGCCCAGTGTATTTAAACCCTGCGTTACAGTCTATGTGCCAGTTCTTCTTCATCCTCTGTGTCAAGCATTCCAGCGATTTTCCTTGTTATCCTTCTGTGATCTCTGCCTGTTTTTCCTTGACCACGTTCTATACCTATACCTTATCTTGTTGTCTGGGTCGTGCATTTGAGTCCTGTTTCTCCTGTGGTTTCACATGTAACACATACTATGACTTTTTATTACATTTGTAATGCCATATGAATATCATAGTATAGTGTGTAAGTCACCTATTATGTCATACAAATGTCATAGTATAGTTTGTCATAAAAAAACTCATTGTAACTCGTGTAATAAAAATGTCATTAAAGTCACATTATACTATGACATAACAATATCTGATATTGTACAGGAACACACACTCCCTGAGAACTCTCAGGGCAAAAAGGATTAAGTGCTGATAACCTTTGAGCCCAACAAAGCCTGGGGAATGGAGCCCAGATGGAGGACATGGAGCCCATCCAGGAAAATAGGGTATGATGCAAGACATATTTTAACTACCGTACATACAGAGGCATCACCAGTGGCCGGCCAGAGTTTGACCAGCCTTAAATTTAACAACAATAAAAATGATCAAAGGGTGGAATGTCAAGGAAATTGTGGTATAAAAGGTTTGTGAAATGTACTCTTTATGAAATGTAATCTTCTAGTCTTGTAATCTTTAGGAGACATATGTTGTGATTTGAAGTTGGCTCATGAATGAGATTTTTGAAATGCTACATCAGAATGTGCTGGTTCTCTCTGAGTGACACCTTGAGGTGGTCTGCTATTAACCTGTAGTGAAATGATTTTGTAACTATGCACCATTTCCTCTAAAATGTTATAAGACGAATAGCTTTTATGACATTACAGTTAGTGAATTCAGTTTGGATATGGGTGTGTGAAGATAAACTTACTGAGCCTTGTGGCATTCACACCACTTTGTGAAATCCCTGCAGTGTAGATATTTAAGATTTCCTGTTTATATGAAGGGCACCTGGTGCGGGAATGTGTTGTATGGCATGTTTATGGTCTGTTTGTACTACATTGTTCCTGGGTGCACACTTGTAAGACGGACACCGTACTGTACAATGACATTTTTTTGACATACCATATGATGACTATTTAATGGCATTTTATATCATGACTTTACCAGACAAACTCATATGAGTGTTAGTCAACTAAGATTTGTTTTTGGTGGAGGACTTAAATAGCATGTAATTAACAAAGTAATATTCATGTAATAGCTTGGTATTAACAATGGGTATATCTGTGTCACATTAGACGTAAATATATGAAACATGGTAATAAGAGGCCAAAAACAAAGGCTAATCATAAGGAAAAATATTTTAAAATAGCAACAAGGCAAACTATAATAATAGTATAGTAACATTTTGGTAGCAAATTGCTAACCTAACAATAAAAGGGTTATATCAGTGACAATTTGGATTACAACATGGTAATACAGTTACATTAATGGGGTAATAACTTGAAAAAATAATGAGGTAATATAGGTTGATGTTTACAATATTATAAGCTAATATCAGTGTATGTATGTATCATATGTTTAATGCTGTGTAAAATATGTACAAGGCATTAACAGTATCAAATGTCTTCAGTGAGAAATTAAGTAGAAACAGGTAGGTTAGCATTTTGCAGCAATACTTCATGGTAATTACATAGAACCTACGTGCCTTGCGCTCATAACATCAACCTATGTTACCTCATTATTATAAGGTTACAACCCCATTATTGTCACTATATTGCCATATTTAATCCAAATGTTACACTGATGTAGTCATTTTATTGCTAGCAGGTTACCACATTGTTACCAAAATGTCACTATACTATTACAAAATAGTTTTGCCATCTTTAAATGTGTTCCCCATTATTACACTTTTTTTGCCCCTTAGTAACCTACATACATTTCCGTCTAATATTACCATGATATGCAAATACTAAATACTATTACCGAGTTATTACTTTGGTGATCACATGGTATTACTTAACTATTACCTCTTTATATTCAAACTACACCATAACCATGTTATTACTGAGCTGTAATAAAAAAAGCTACCGTGATGGTAAAACACTGTACTGTGCCAGAAGAAGGAAACCTGGTACCAGGCAGGCCGTGATCCCGGCCCCTCTGGAGGTTAAGGGCCCCGAGGTCCAGAGGCATCCCTCCCTGTGCCTGAAACAGCCTCTCTGTCAGCTCCTCCACCATCATCTGACCTGGAGTCTGCAGCTTTGCCGGAGACAGCAACAGGCCGCGCAGCACAGGGTCTATACCACCTGACACACCAGGAGAAAAGAGAGAGATGGTAGCAGATAAGATTAGTAAATTGTATGTAATTTGAGTTAAATGTATGACATCCTCGAAGTTTTACCTTCCTGCACGACCCTCCAAGACGCAAACAGGGAATGATGCAGAGGCAGCTGGGGATGCTGGGCGTGGGTGGTGTATCCTGGCCCCAGCCTGGTCACCACTGGCTGCACGGTGACGTGGGCAAAACGGAATGCAGCAGCTGCAAAGACGTTAGCGATGCTGGGATCCACCTCGGGATCATACCCCTTATAAGGAGGCATCAGACGAGACATGGCACTCTCTCCGAGGACCCGCGGCACGTAGTGCTCCCATGTTAGGATCTGGAAAGATTAAAAGAATGTCAGAGTGCCTGGTATGCTCATGAAGGTAGTGAACAGATAGAAGCTAGATACCTGATGAACGGCTCCCATGATCTTGCGGGCCTCCTGATAAAGTGTATCAGGGCTCCAGCGAGGGTTGAGCAGGTGCAGCTCTTTGACCAGCCGGTTGTGCTCTCTCAGAAAGAGTGTGTGCAGTGCGATCATACCCAGATGTTCATTAGCTCTTGAATCACCTGTGAAACACAAATCATAAACGAAAGCTCCACTGAAGCCTGCAGAGAACAGTCAACTCATTACATTTACTCGCTCACCAGCTTGAAAGCAGGATGTGGTGTTCTCCTGCTGCCTGGATCTTTCCAATGCCCCTGAGGTGATGGAGTTTCGGGGGCCGCAGGGGTCCAGGTGAGGCTGTTGGCGTGGCAAATATGGCATGTAGGCCAGCTCATGGTCTGAGTGCTTGGAGTTGAGGGTCATTGAGCCCAGAGGAGATGAGCGGTTTCTCAGAGTCGAGGCCATGCCAGTGGAGCTGCCGTACACCATACTGGCATCTACAAACGAGGTGATGGCGTTGAGCTGCTCTCGGTGGCGATGAGTCGGGACTCCAGCAACACAGCTGGGAGCAGAGCGGAAGAAAGGCATACAACTCTGGACGCCACTGCGAGGATCTGACAGAGGGATCTGGACAGAGAGGTTATATGTTTTTTATAGTGGGTGATGAGGGGAAAACAAATATTCTTGTTTTAACTAGTAAAATATTTTTTCACAATAACATTGTGATAAAATACCTTTTTACCTAAGTTATTCATTGCTTGTGATTTACAACATTGTAAGTGGTTCATTTTTGTCATACACCTTCATTTGTTTGTACCTCCCTTTATTTAATTTAATTTATTTATTTTCTTTTGTTTCCTTTATTTTACTATGTATATGGCATGTGTACTATGTACTTTATGCGTATGGAAAATTCAAACTATTTAAATATTTATTTTAGTATGTATATCGAGCGTCTTAGGCACATACATTTCTTTGAAGAAAAATAAAAGTTCTATTACCAAATAAAATCAAAGATGCAGGAGTGTACCTGTATGGGGAAGCACGGCGTGTCCCGGCTGCAGGTGTGTGTGCAGTCAGCTCCTGTCCTGAATGCGGACGTACTGGGGCTCTGAGGCGTCAGGACCACATCGTGGTCAATCCACTGACCCCATTCCACCAGCAGGTGGGAGAGAGTGGAGTCCAGGGAGATGTTGTCATTGTGAGTGAACAGCACTTCCTGAGACACCAGCCGCACCTGGACACCAAACACAATCAGGAGGGTTTAAGCTACGGCAGATGACGGGACAGAGGACGACTGAGGGCTGCTGCAGGGCTCTTACTGGAGGCAGACTGGCGTTATGGTAGGTGTGCTCTGGGTCCCAGCTTCTGGGCATCCCCCACACATCCTCGTACTCTGCAGGCAGCCAGCGGGAATATGGGATGTTTGCAGCTCCCCATCTGGGATTATGTCTTAACAGGACAAAAAACACAACAGACGCATCACAGTTATCAAAAAACAACTAAATCTATTGCAAGTCAGCACTGCTCTGTGACTATACAAGTTTTCTATTGTGTAAGCAATAACCTGTTGTTGCACTCTCCTGTGATGGATCTGTAGCGCTCAGACAGACAGTCGGTGTCACAGCTGGGTCTCTGCAGCTCAGCGGAGCAGCCAGTCACCTGCAGCAGATTCTCCATGTCTCTTTCACTCAGCAGCTCTTTGGGAACATACAGTTAACACAACTTCTAAGTCATACAAATAATAACTATAATATTTAGAAGAAAAAACAACAGCTGGCTTTAACTTGTTTGGAGTGGTTGATCAGATCATTTGCTCTTGCCTTATGTCAGAAGACAAACCTATTTGAACCAACGGGCTCCTGCCATTTTCTGTGAATTTGTACCTTTTACCTTCTGAATATTTTACTATTATATTTTGCTCACTTTTACGAATATTTAGCTTTTCAACAGTAGATCTGGGAACATGTTTGTTGCATTATATGAGGATAAATTAAAGGGCAGCGTAAAAAAAACCCCTGATGGTTATCTGTAGTCCGAAACATACTGAAAGCCAATGTAAGGCGGGCCTTGCATGTAAGATAAGTACTAGTTGTAGTACTAGTAGCCTTAAAGGTGATGTGTTGTGTTTTTCTGCTGCTCTGTACCCTGATGGTCGGGCTGCACCATTGTGTGAGTGTAGACCATCTCTCTGATCAGCTCCACTGTGTTGTCCAACAGTTCTGCAGCCCTGATCTGAGTCCTGGTCTTGGCTTCAGTCTGTTTAAACTGAGCCAGCAGGTCACTGGGTCTCAGAGCGCCCTCAGACAGGGTCTTCTTTACCCTGGAAACATTAATAGCGTTTAGTACAACAATGCTGTACAGATGTAAAATGATGATGTATATTTTTGTCAGTGAGTCTGAAATATCTCCATAGTGACCCAGTCATCTTTACCGTTCACTTGTGCGTGCGTAAGCAGCATCCGTCAGCTCAATCGCCCTCTGAAGTGCCTCCCTTACAAATACAGATCCTGGATACACAGCTCCTGACATTAGCACAACAGAAAACATGGATGCAGTTAGAAAACCTCAGTGTCTGGCCTCATCAGTAACAATCAAACAGAAATCCTACCTGAGGTGTTGTCAAATACCCTGTTCAGAGAAGCATGCTCAGGGAAGGAGAGCAGGACAAGAGCCAGTCCAAGCAGAGAGACGGACACCTAAACCCAGAACACACCTAACTGAATATTTCAAGAAATGTGCTTCTTTATTCTATTAAAATAAGAAGGAAAAGAAGTGAAACTCACCATGAGTGCTGCGTCCATCTAGAACATTAAAACTGATCAATCCGTGCAGAAAGGATTAGCTTCAGGTTTAGAAAACTAATCACGCTCATAGTACTCTGCCACTGCACTGACCATGACTTATCTTGACAGCCAACCTGTGTATGTGTGTGTGTGTCAGTATGTGTTCGTCCCCGAGCGTCCAGGTTGCCATTTATACACTGGCAGCAGAGCCAACAGGTATGTGCAGAATCCCCTTATCTGTCCTACTGGTGACAGGAACGCAACATCAAACACTGGACTCTCTGCCTCGACTTAATAACATTCAAATCAAATTTACTTCTGTCCTCATGATGACAACCTCCTGTCATATTTGGATCATTTCAATCAAATCAACAATTCTACCCATCCCTCCACAGAATATTGTAGTGAAGTATTGTAGAAGTGGACACAATCAACCAAACAAATACAGGCAGTGGAAACTTTAAAAGCAGATTGAAAAGACGGGCTCATTTATTATTATTTAGCAGCCAGAGGGAATTTCACAATGACATGTAAAGTACATCTTTCATTTTCATTACAAGTGTGTCTGTCTTTGCCACATGTTCAATCTGATCGTCCCTGTGCCAGTGATGCAGACAGGTGGGTGAGCTGGAAGATGAGGATTCTGGGAAATGACTGAAGAACCAGGGATGAGGATGAAAAAAGGAACAGAAAGGTCTCAGTTAAACCAGGGTAGAGGAAGTGACTCAAAGTTTGGTTGTGTCTCACACATGAAGCACCAGGCTGTCTGCGTCTTCCCTTTGATGCTCCAGGTGTGTGATACCATCAAATTAGTCATCAGTCCCATTTCATTACGATGTTATTAATATTATCTCTGTTGAACCACATTACCCATAATCCACTTTATGTGACATTCAAGATCTGAAATGTAGAAATGTTTTATTCACAAGAATGTCCTGTTGAAGAAAATACAAATACTTGAAATACAGGAAGATAAAAGGCCATTTCACCGGCCTTTCCAACTTATTTTTAATGGTTTCTAGTTATGTGGATTGTTTTAGGTGGTTGTTTTAGGTTTAATGCTCTCACAACCCTTAAGAAATAAACCCTAACTATCTATATGACTGGATACTAGGGACATATGGGATTACATTATCATTTAAAGTAAAGAAAAAATATTTAAACTTCCATTTTTTAAGCTTTTGCTGTGCAGAAATAAACAGAAACACACAAATATTAAGGAAACTGCAGGTTGGATTAGAGCCACTCTTGTGTTTATTGGGTGCTCGGTATGTGGACTTTCCCCAATCTTATTGACGTGCATGGATGGGAAAAACACACATTTACCAGGCTGGACTATCATCATGCCAACAGAAACATTTTGTTCTTTTAACAAACAAACAAAAAATAAAAATACAGAACTTTTATTCACATATCAGTTGGTTGGACATTTCACTGTAATTGTTGATACTTGATTTTTGTCCTGTACATGCAAAAAACACATTTAAGTAAAAGTAAAAGTTAATACGATAATACTGTTTTCACTGGAAGATATGTACCTTAATTTAAACTGGAAACGTTTTATAAATAATAATAATAATAATAATACAGTGCACAACTTCCGTTGCAGCTACAGCAGCAGTTACTGGGCAGATTTACATACAGTGTTAGTCATGTTATTTGGTGTAGAGAAGCTGCAGCTGATCTTTCTTTAGGCGTGCTGAGACCAGAGGAAGCGATCACAGCGCTCAAGCATCGTCTGGATCATTGCTCTGAAACAGAAAACAAAAGAATAGAACTGTAATACCTACAAATGAAGTCCCTTCATATTACACCGATTATTTTTGATTTTAAACGACATTTCAGATTTCATTCACACATTTTGGTTCTGATGGATAATGTTTGGTTGATTTGTATTGAACTAGAAAGGTTCCCTCAGTAGAGGGTGTGTCTGCAGCAAACACTGCTGTAATGTTTGATTGAATGAATACAACCCACTATTGGCTAACCCCTCCCACAACAAAAACACTCATTTAAATCAATGCAGAGGTGCACACGATTGATTTCATTATCTCCTTGCGGAGATGATAACAACAGTTTGATGTGCAGTTGTGTTCTCATTGAAGTTTGGTAATTGGCACCCTGACCCACCTCTGCCTCTTCTCAGTGACTCTCAGAAGCTCACAGACCAGTTTGGAGTGTGGCGAAAGGACCAACTGCACTCCACACTCCTCCAGGACGGCCATGGCGCGGTCGGGCCCGGCTGTTCGGGCCAGCATCAGGGTCAGGTTCTCTGGGCTGATCTTTCCACCACAATCTGCCGAGCCGTTGGACCAGCTGCTCCCATTCACACCTGTGACCTGCTCTGAGTCGACCTCACTGCTGCATTGCTGAGATAACTGGATCAAGAGCTTCCACTCTTCCAAGGTCTGAGGCACAACACCTGGAAACCAACAAAGGGACAGTACAGAGACTATGATGGTGTGTTTTTTTCTTTTTGGCAAACATGTTTAAAACCAGTGTCATTTAGTTTGATTGTGTTCCATTCGGGTGATTCAGGCCACTCCAGTGAGTGCAGACAGCGTCACTAAGGTAAATCATTATCATGGAATGTTACTGATGTTTATCTACACGCCGAGTGTAAAAAAAGGATGAACCATTGTTTGGACTAAGCAGTGCACCGTGGATTTCAATGCCGTACATATGTCATTTTTTAGTATTTGCCTCAGTAACACCTGACACACATTACACAAGAGATTTAAACTCTGCTTCTGTCTGAAAGTTTTACCATCAGCTTCCTCCATCAGACTGATGTCATCCAGCCGACAGATGGTGGCGAACGCTTCTTTGCGACACCGCAGCTCACAGCAGAGGTAGATGTAGCCCGTCCAATATCTGCACACACACAATATCCAGATGTAAACTCACAAACAGAAACAGTTAAAAAAACAAAAACATTTGAGTCAGACAAAATTAGAAGTACCCGTGACTGCGGCAAGTTTCTGCCATCTTCTGCTTGGAGGACAGGTCAGCAGGAAGATGAATCAGGAGAGACAGGAGGCGCCCATAACCCCAACTGAAACAATGAGAATGCCACCTGCAGCAGGAGTCACACGAATTCACAGTTACAGTTATTCTTATACTTTACTTTCACAGTATTATTTGACCTCGTTGTGGCCAAATAGAATCCAGAGGTGAAATGTACCCATGATAGTATCTTAGTTCACATCTATTAAGACATACTTTGAGTTTTATAACCTCAAACTAAATAAATTAAAAAGGATCATCAATCTCATTTTGCATTTTCCCCCACACCAACAGGAGCAGACCTGGGCTGTCCATCAGAGCTCAGCGTATCACAGCGTTGAGGGGCATCGTGGGTAAGTGCCAGCTCCAGCCAATCCTGTCTCAGGGATTCTGGTTCAAGAAGGGACTGCAAAAATGACAACCTAGAGGAAGAATGAAGAATGTAAAAATCAGCACCACGAGGAGTTCAAAGAATCTTTCTGTCCTTGACAAATAGATGAAATTAAGGATGTACCTGTGCTCCTCAGTTTGTGATTGGATCAGATTATCCAGGTACGCCAGGAAGTGGCTTTGTTGAGCCATGGTCATTACATCAGCAGGAGTTATCGTAGGATAGAACTGTGTAAATGAGCGTACAGCCGCCTCGCCGTGCTTCTGATACAGCCTGGATAATAACATAGTAAACTCACTTCACAAGGTCCAACCACAACTGTGATATCAGTATACTGACCGTGTTAGAAAGAAACGCGTGTACTGACCTGTGTAAGTGAGCGAGGAGGGGAGGGGCACTCCAGGGCTGCAGCTCTCTCAGACTGCGCAGTGATCTCAGTAAATCACCTCTCTGAATAACCTCCACCACCTTACTGGACTGAGTGAGACCTACAGAGAACGACAAGAGTTGATCTTTCAAATCATTTGAAAACAAGTAGAGTATCAGAGATGCACGGACCTCTGATTAAAATTACAGTTACAAGATGAGATGCAAGTATTTATGTTGGATACTTGAAATTTGAAATCTGAAAATAAAATACAGGAAAAAAAAAAGACGAGAACAGAGATTTAAGGAGAAGCTTCTGACCTAGCATGGCCTCGATGAAGGAGCTCTGCACCTCCGGCTGATCCTGATAACACAGCAGACACATTCTCCTCACACGCTCGTGGTCCAGCAGAAAGAAGTAAGGGCGCAGGAAAGTTGTGCAACCCAATACTTTATTCTCCTGGTTTATAAAGCAGCTCATCTCTGTGTATAATGTTGCCAGCTGGGTGAGATTAGCCAGTAGATCCGATGGTACAGGTTTGGGAGACTCAACTCGGACAGGGTCTGGAGGGCTCCCATTTGAAACGTCCGGCTTCTTCTCAGTGGAGTCACACTGGTCCTCTCTCTCTTCCAGCTCACGAGACTCTTCTCTCTTCTCCTCTGCGATGCTCTCTGTTGGTTCTCCTGACGAGAACAAAGACTCCTCTTGTTGCTCTGAGCAGGAGTTTAGATAATCCCACCTCTCCTTTCCTGGTTCATCCACATTTGAATCACCCGCAGCAGCTGACCTGTGCTCTACAGGTCCGAGTATTCGCTCCAGCACCACCAGCCAGTCCTGCAGAGTTTCTCCCAGGCAGAATGGATCCAGGAGCACCAAAGGATCTTGGATCTGGGAGCTGATGTTGGGAAAATGTAAGGTGTAAATATAAGTTCAGCTCCTATAGGCAGTGAAATCTTGCGGTCAGGATTCTATCAAAACGGTGCACAGCACTTACATAGCTCGCTCTGTCGCTGATCGAAGTTCCTGCATGTCGGACTCTGAGTTTGGCATTTCATCATAAACTCTGTGGCGACAAATATAATTCACTTTTATCTGATTTACTTTTAATAGTCTATTCAAAACAAGATATTAGCCCAAAATCTGTTGACAGTAAAAAAGGGGTTTTAGTCCACTTACTCATTGTCCATTTCCTCCGAGTAGGAAGCTGAGGCTGACATTTCCGAATGTCCGCTGTCCCTGAATTCAGGCCGTTGCCAGAGCTCAGAGTTCATCTGGAGGGTGTTGATCTTCTCTGTTGTCTTCTTAACAAAACTAGAAACACTGAGAAAAACAAAAATCGAAAAACCCAATGATATCACTTTAGATCTAACAACCTGAAAAGGCAAACAGATCCATTAACATATGACAAATGACTGAATGTGACGATTGGAAATGAAACCTGCCACATGCGTCTACACAGATGAACAATGTGAACCCATGGTAAAAAATAGATGTAGCTCTTCAGTGGAAAGGGGAAGTAAGCCGTCTAAAAGCACAGCTGCTCTTGAATAATTATAGTTACTGTAGGAGTTTCAATCTTCATCGAGACAAAAGAAGCACAATCCACAGGTAATCTAATCTGTGTTGAATAAAACTCAAAGCTATCTAAGATGACAGCGTCATGCCTGTATGGCTGCTGCGACACATTCTTGTATTGTCCTCTATGTCTCTGGATGTTCACCTGTCTTTGACAGCCTGCAGAGCGATGCGGGGGGGTTTGGGACGGAATGAGAGGGGGAGGTGGAACGGCAGGCCTTGCTCAGATCGCTCAGCCTCCACACGCTCACTGCTCTGTGGATCTGAATAAAGATGGGGGCAAGAGCCAGAGGACAAACACAGATGGATGGAGTACTGGAGGGGAATGATGAAAGGCAGAGGACATAATGCAAGCAGATGGAGCAAAGGTGCCAGACACCACTATCACTAAATTAAATGCTGCACGATGCAAAAAAAAGCAGAACCAAAATGGTGATTATACGTGCGATACAATGAAAAAGACAAGAAACTTGACATTAACAGCGGGACAAAGAGATAATTGTGATCGTAACACATGTCAGAGTGATCATTCAGCTCTCACAGCAAATCCACTGATACAGCACTGCAACTTTATGGATTAAAGGATTTTATGTTTTTCAAATCAAAAACTAATTTTAATGCCAAACATACAAGACAGTGTCAGAAGCAGGTACATGTGATCAGCATGACAACAGAGACAAAGATTAAGAGGAGTATATGAAGAGTCAAGTTATTGTCACATGTATAGATGCATCCTCTTCATGTTTTGTTTTTGATTGGTCAGGTATTTTAATAGAGTGCGAGATATGAAATAGAAAATAACGTCACTCTCTCTTCACACTGAACTCAGAAGAGGCAGAAAAGGAGTTTGTTCCTGATACACACACACACACACACACACACACACACACACACACACACACACAAAGCAAGGAGTGAAGAAAGAAACAACAGCGTGTTTGAATATTTTCTTGTTTGTATATTTCGGCTTTAGTTGTTGTTTTAGCATTGGTGCAGTTTTAGCATTTTGGGGTTTCATTTGTTCGTCTGCAGATTAAACAAAAAAAATGTGTTTTTAAGAAGAAGATAGTACTAAACAGGTGTTGATTTTCATTATTATTTGTGTAAATTAGTTCATATGCAAAAATATCCTAATAATTCAGCCTTTCTGCAGACATTCCTTCTCTGTGATGTCTTAACAAATTAACGTATTATTAAAGTCTCACCCTATTAAAATTGATTCCATCTGGTAATTATAATGTAATATTAATACCACTTCTAGTTGTTACTATAAGTAATCAATATATTAACATCACACATATGTTTATTCATCAAATGTAAATTAGTCCTTCCAAAAAATTGGGAATATAATTTTGTATGTTTGAATTGCAGTAATTTTAAAGAACAGCATTTGTTCATTTAACAGCTAACAATCTCTTACCAGGATCCACCGGATCGTCATCCTGCACAAAGCTGAACTCTTTGAGCCGCTCCTCCTCTGACATGGACTGATTGATGAGGGAGCTCGTCTCCTCATCCGACTGACTTCCTCTGCGGCTGATCACACGATAGATTCCACAGTCGAGGACGTTGAAGCTCTCCTTGATGACGATATGTCCGATATCAGTACACACTCTTTTGTTACAATACGGATTTACAGAAGCGGTGTGCTTAAGTTACAACGGGCTCATAGAATCATAAATGTATTGAATGACCAGTATTCAAAGCGCCATGTATTTATCTCCAGAAAGTTACTTAAACCTACATGTGAGGAGATGCTACTTCTTCGGCTGCTGGAGGCGGAGTCCAAAGGCTCCAGTTTAGTGATGACGTCCTCCAGCTGGCCGGTCAGATCCAGGTGCGTGCTGGAGCTGAGCTGGGACCTGAGATGTTCGAGGCGGTCGATGGGAATAGCTTTCCTGGCCTGAATTAAACAGGAATGATGAGCAAGGCTCAACACAGAGGAGCTCCTACTAAGATCATGAGACATCTAGTTAAGATTCCTGATTTCTAAAACACTTGATTTACTTCAAACTAGAAATGTTTAACACAAACTACTATGGTCAATAACATCAGGCTATGTACCTGCTGTGTTAAGAAGATCATGATGTTAGGTACTGAGATAATCACTATGTAATGAAACTATTATACTGTTAGCAGGAGCCATATATAGCTCTTGCACATTTTATGGTTTGGTCATTCAGGGTGAAACATCTCAGGATCACAGGTATATGATGTGCTTTATCCTTAAAAAAAACCAGGAAGTCAGAAATTCACACGAATATCTCAGCCCAGATAAGTCCGGTACCACAGAGACGAGGCCAGTTAGCGAGGCAGTGGCCATCTTACCCTGCTGGTGGTGATTGTGTGCTGGAACATGCAGCAGACCAGAGCAGCTAGAGGCCAGGACTCCCTCCGGAGCAGACGCTCAACACAGCGCTCAGCAGATAACAGGGAGAGGTGGGACAGACGTCCACTGCCGTGGAGACAGAAGAGCTCGTTGCGGTAGACCGCGATGTCAACCAAGTCTGCAAAGCCACAGAGCCGGTTTGGATCAACTTACAGTAAATCAAACAGGAACAAAAGGGCTGTATGAGCAATGATAAAATGGTTAAATATTATGACCCTTTCCATTGCATTATTGTTGACTAGTGGTCCTATATCAACATATTTACAGCTTGTGTGCGTTTGTGAATAAAATGTTTGCTTAAGTACTCCAAAGGACCGCTTTAGGAGGAAGCAGCACAAACACACCTTTGACTTCAGTCCACAGAAGCACTTGTCCGTTCTGAGGTGTGAAGATATAAATAGCTGAATCAGTCCAGGTCAGCAAGTTTTGGTCTCTACACATCAAAATAGAGAGTGTACAGTTAGTCAAGAAACAGGCCCGCTTGCAGATGTTATATAAAAATGAAGGGATGCTCTTTTTTGATTGATGTTGTCTTTTGCAAACAAAATATTAGCCTTTTATTCAACAATGTGCATATGATTAATATAGTGATTGACGCGCCTAAAAACTCAGATAATAAGATGTAGATTATTACTAACATTACCCAAAATAAAGCAGTTTCTGGAAGGTGATTGACTGGGGGCTCTTCGGCACTGGGTTGTAATGTTGTGGCTCATCTCTGCAGGTAACAGAAGAAAAAAAAAGACTAATTAGGAGTTTGGCCTTTTAAAGACGACTATTTAAAAGTGGGAACAATCAGTACCTGTAAGTGATGAGAGGCAGAGGAGGACAGGCCAGTGGCTGTTTGAACTGATGGGTGCTCAGAACCTCACCATTGAAACTGGCCTCCCATATTCGAGACCCCGGCCGGGCAGAGTACAGCAGGGGGGGCTGACCAACTAATAATCCCCTGTTCTGAGGGAAGAAACATGCTCCATACTCCCCATCACGCTCCTTATTTCCAACACGCCAGAACTTTTCCCTGAAGGCAGGTAGAGAGGGAAAAATACACCACTGCTGAGAGTAGTCCAGGGAACATTTTGATTTAATTACAGTTTTCTTCTTTCATTAATTACGAGTACAAATGACACAGATAATTCATATCTTACACGAAATTAGTCTTAGCTTTTGAATAGGAAAATATATAACAATACTTCTTTAGCAGGGACAATATTTACTAGTATGGGGGGGGGGGGCATTCATCCGCAATGAGAGAGTCTCCCCCTATAGAGACGCAGCCAGCTAGTACTCACCTCTCTGTGTCACAGAGGTAGCAGCGGCTCAGGGAAGATATCAGCAGGCGACCATCTTGGTACCCAAGCTGAACCACTCTGGAGTCCACAGTGGTGACGGTCTGAACGGGGAAGATAACGAATGATGACCCCTAGACACAAAGAAAACAATATCAAATATGCAGTAATTACTAAAAAGCCAAAAATCCATATACATACTGTGTATATATACACATTATTATTTAGGAAACAAACTATCTCCACTTTGAATCAGCAGTCACTACCTTGCCCATCTTGGAGGATCCTGCACGGAGGAAGGACACCTTGCCTCCCGTGTCCCCGACGAAAACTCTGAGCGTGCTGGTGTCCCAGCAGAGTGCAGTGATGGCCTGACCTCTGTGCTCCCAGGACACACTCACTCTCTCCGGACGACCCCGCCGCTCCAGCTGCAGCTCCCACACCACCACCAGACCCTGACTGGAGCACAGACAACAATGTGAACACACGGGCAACAAAACCGAACACATAGTTAGACTTCTTCACTTATTGGAGAGACTCTAACCTTGTTGCAACAGCGATAAAGTCTTCATCATGAGGGCAACAAGCCACCTGAGCGATAGATCCCTCCTGAAAAAGAGTGCATGATGGGTGTCCCTTACTATGTGCAGCTTTATTGGTGGATAGAAGACCACAATAGTCACATGTTACCTTGTGAGTGAGGATGAGCCTTTGCTTCCAGCCCTCCTTCTGGATCAGGTGCAACCCTCCTGCTGATGTTCCTAAAGCGAGCCACTTCCTTGACACTGCCAAACAGGTACACTGCAACACAGAGAACACAGTATTTAATCATCTGTTCACGTAGCTATACCATTCTTTGGTTTAATCCATTTTTGAATGTGCAGACCCAATAACTGTTCATCGTAACACAATGTCAGTATTTTTTTCACTCTGAAGTACTTTAAGACATTAGATAATAAGCTACTATAAATCATCCATGTGTGATTCAATTACAAGGCCGACTCCGTCATGTGATGGTGAAACCTACCTTGAGCCGGCCCGAGTCCAAACGGAGAGCAGACAGAAGTGGATCGAGGCAGTCAAACTCTGCCAGTATGTGACTGTGGTTCTCTGGCACGACTGGTATCAGAGGCATGTTGACTGGTGATCCTCTACAACTGAGAGAGAAACGGCATTCAGCAACGTTAAGACGTCAAGAGTCCCTGCTCTGCTTCCTCACATACTACAGCCCTCAGCCGCGTGGCATCACATGACTTTCAGTAGTTCACCTACCCTCTCGAATTGACCAGTCATGACTTCACTTTACATTCCACTCTGGTTAAAAAAATAAACATGTTATCATCTCCAGTGTACCATTCGGGTTTTTAAATGCCTCTTGTCCTAGAGCGGCCATTTCATTTATCCAGAAAGACCTTTTCGACAGGACCGGAGGACACCATTCAGCTCAAAATGCAGCGTGTAGTTTGTCTTTGATTTGCTTGTTTTGGTTTTAGGTGAACGTATGAGGAAGCAGAAGCAAAACTAAGCAGATCATTAGAATAATCAGATAAGGCTGGCAAAATACATCAATGTGTGTGTGCAACAAAAATGTTTTAAAACTAAATGACGGATCATAATTGATCCTGAGCTTTAAAGTAGTTGACACAAGTATCTCAAAAGAAGTAACAGTCAACTCTGACCTCTCCCTCTATTTGTTAACACTCTACTGCAACAGGAACATTTACACAGCTGAATTGTCCTGCTGAAGAGACCTAGGGCACACATGCACATGGGAAGGCACTCATAAGGCTGTTTATTGCAAATGATTGTGCTTGAATTTTGCTCTCTGACAAACAAAATTGCCCTTAATCACATTATGACATGTTGAACCTGAGGATCTCTACTGATCATCTCTGTCAGAGCCCTCAGGTTTAACATGTAGTTGTAATCTCTATGGTTGTAATGTGGTGAGGAAGTATTCAGATCCCCTACTTAAGAGTGAAAGTAGAAGTAATCAACTTTTTACAACTGTAGCATTTGTACAGTGTAAGCATCACATTGAAAAAAAACGATCAAGTATCAAAAGTAATCAATACAGGAAACCCACTTATGCGAGGGTTAAACCATTTAATGAGCGTTTTATTGTTTTAGTTAGCAGATCTAAGTGAAGCTTTTTTAAATCTTATTTTTCATACTGTTGGAGTGTAAACCATATTTTAGAAACTCATTGCGAGTTTTCTATATGTAAAATTGTATCACGTTAAAGTGACTCGATCTGTCAAAATACATGAGTAAAATGTACAATACGTCAGTCAGAATTAGTTGGTGGAGTCGAGTAAAAGTACAAAGTGGCACGACATGGAAATACCCAGTGAAAGTACCTAATACATATTCTACATGACTCTACTACATACAGTACGTGAGTGGCGTTAAAAGTACTAAAACTGTCTCTCGTGCTTAGCCTTTAAGGCCCTTTCATGGTTATAGTTTTAGTTGATAATACATATTAACATCAGTAATATTAAGTTTCTACAGCTAAAAGGGGCGATTCAATCAGTCTGCATCACGAGACCCGTCAGCTGACACTGATGCTCGCGTTTCTATCAAAACTACAGCTCAGAAACCTTTAAAGACAATAGTAGCAGGGCATGGGTATGCTAAATATATGTTACGGTAATTCAAATTATGGACTGAAGTTCAGTGCGCCTCTGTGCCACTATGTTTACAATAACACGTTAGCAATGCTAGCTAGCTAAGACAGCGGTGTTTTCATTGACCTTTTAGCCGTTAAAACTCACCAAATGGTCGCGTGACACTTACCGACTACAAATCCACACCCAACCGTTGGTTTACATCGCTGGTTTCCTTCACTTATATTTGTGGAGAAACTCTGCCGTCCGTCTCACGCCGTCTCTGACGGGCAGCTAGCCGAGCTGTCACGGCTCCACTCAGCTGACGTGAGGACACTTCCTGGATGAATGCCTGACTTTGACGCGACACATATCGTCCATATTCTCCAAAGCAGCTACGCATTTAGAAGAGGCAACATCCGACGCTTCTCTTGTAGTTTATAAAGCACCACGGCAGAAAAACTATCGCTAAAACCTGAAATAAAAACCCAATTCATGGACTTAATGAAATACTGAAGTTTCAAAAAGAAAGTGGCATGAACAAAAAGCTCACTTTAATGCAGTGACATTTTCGTCTTCAGTGCAAACAAAAAGGTGCAGACATTACAAACCAGTGACAGTGTGATTTGAGGCACACACACATACACTAATGCACTCGGTGCGACATGTCTTTACAGTATTGCTATATTCACGTCACCTTTTTGCTTCGGATTTTCTGGAACTTTGTTCCTACGAAATCGACCCGGGGCTCAGAGGGGCTCCTTATAGGGCCGAGCTCTGTTTCTCTGCTCTGCAAACTGATGAAACGCATGTTGGCAACCCTCTGCTTGCATTTCACACTTCAGCCTGTCGTTCAGAGGGCCTTTCCGAATTTCCATTTGAAATTTGGTCATATTACACCATTTTAAAAAGTCCCCTTTAACCATTATCGGCACCATTCTCTCAACCGTTGAGAAAACACAAACAAAAGAGAAAGAAACAAATGATAGATATCTGTGACCGAGATGTCGGTTGAACAGTTTGGGATGTAGCAGCGTTCATCTACATCCTCATCAAACCCGTGTGAGTCTCGTCCCATCAGGCTGTGATCTGTGGTCTCTTCTCTTAGTAGAGAACCCTCTCAGGTCACTTGTCCATATCCTGTGATCTCTTCATTGTCCTCTCTTTGACAAAACACCGGACCTCAGGTTTTCCTCAACATGCGACGGGTTTGCCAGACGTGGAACTTGCTATAAGCTGTCTGCAGCATCTCCTCCAAATGCCCTGTGAGCTGTGGGGGAGTGAAAGACGTTAATACAAGGCCCACCGGGTACAAGACACCGAGTCATCATTTACAGCTCAGAGACTTACATTTGTACTCAAGTACTGACGCTGAATCTTCTCCTGAAAAGGACAAAGCTTGGTCATCTGGAATCTCTCGAGGTTCGACTTCATTTTCATCACCTATATATATATATATATATATATATATAAAAAAAAAAAAAAAAAACTATGAGGTGATGACAACAAATCTGAAGGAAAAAAACACATCAGGAAAATCTGGTAAAAGAAACCTTCCTGCTTTCTATGAAGAGAGACTGGCCCCTGTAGTGTTGGTGAGGAACTATACATCAGCTATATACTATACTATAAGTTATTATACTGCTTAGTGACAGCCACTTTGGTTATCTATAAATTAATGTAAATTAATTAATACACAAAACACTGGGATTAGTGTCGGAAAGTTTTGCTGACATCTACTTTGATTCAATGTTGTAAAACAATAAAACAAGACAGAATCCAAGGGGCTTGAATACTTTGATCAGCATTATGTTTTGTATTATGAATTTACTCTCTGTTACCTACATTGTTATGGGCAACCGTGCTTTATATTCCTTTAAACCACACATAAATGTGAATAATTCAATTTGTATGTGCTATTAGTGCCAATATTGTGTTGTTGTTGCTAAAGTCATTGGTGGTCAAGACAGGGAAGGAGGGAATACATTTCTGTGTGGGACAATAACAATGTGACATCCTTTCAATAAAGTTATTATCAGTCACCTTCTCCTCCAAAAATGGTGTGTTTACAGGAAAACAGGACCAGAAGTGTCTCAGCAACTCTCCAGCAGCTGCATGAAGATGCCTCAACTCTCCTTGAACCTCAGAAGGTACCATCTCTGAAAAGAAAAGAGAAACAAATACAAAATAAAGTACTGCTAGTTTAAATGAACATCTGTCACGATTGGTTCCGGTTTAAGCAAATGAAGAGATTAGAATCCCTCCATCTCTACAGAACGCCCAGACACAGTCTTATGGAATCAAACACACTACAGATGTGCTACACTCACCCACTGATCACCCACGTTCACCATATGTAGTAATAATGATATTTAACAGTTGTACGACACACTTACGATTTATGGCTTGCTGAGTTGCTGCCTGCATGAGGATGCCACCTGAAGAAAGTGCTGCAATGGCAGAACTAGCGGTTGTGTTGGACAACACCTGCAGAGAGTATTTCTGTGTTTAACACTTTGAAGGCACCATTCATAGTTGTTTTTACATATTCTTTGACTTTTTAGGAAAACTGAAAATCTGGATTATTTTTAAAAACAGTTTGCTATATTTCTTAAATTGTCATGATGGAGTGAGAATCAGCAGATCCTAATTTGTCACAGTCTGAATCATCTTTGAGTTCTCCTGATGGCACCGCGTCTCAAGAAAACAACCAATCAGAGCCGAGGAGTCACGAACAAAATGTCAATCAATGCTGTAGCTTTAAAGAAGTGGGAAACCTGCAGGTATCTGACTGGAGGACCAGCCGTCCTGATCTCAACCTGAGGACTTGTGAGCCGTGAATGAATAGAGAAAACTCAGTGATTGTTGATTCACAACAACGGCTGTGTGTTCTGTGGGATCTAACCTGAGTGAGGTTGGGTTTGTAATTGACCATCTCGTGCCGGATGTAGTTGACAGAGTTGATGATATCCTGGCTTGTCGTATACTGTTGGGACTGAAGTGGCACTGGACCATGAGCATACCTTATAAATAAAAAGAGGGAGAGAGAAGCATTATATTAAAACACGTCACCCTGAATTCAGCTGTTTAAAAGCATAAAGTTGGGGCTGCAAAACAATTCATATATTCACTTTATGTGCTGAAGAGACATTCCGGTTTATAACCACTGGCAGGAACTTTAACACAGTGGAAGCAATAAATCTAACCTGTAAAATAAAATATCTATTTTGAATCAGTTCAAAGTGCACAGTTGATTGCTGAAACCTCAAAATGTCTTATGAGATAGAGGCTTGGCTGGAGCAACTTATCAATTGATTTTTTTAGTCTCTCTTTCGTTGATCGATAGAAAATTGATAACAAAATTGATTTTGAACTGCTTCTTTCAAAGTCAATTATGAAATAAAAAGACAAAAATATGTACAAAATCGATTTTCTTTTTTCTGTTTCATATATTATAAATTGAATACTAACTTTTGTGACAGTTTGTCAAACAACATAAACAGTTTCTAAAAATGAACCGCCTGTAAATGTATAATTTTAAAAGGTGTTAGATGAATCGCTGCCATTCAGAGTCAACAATTTGAAGTCACCCTCTACGGAACAAAGAATACAAACTGTACCTGTCGGACTTCTTGAGGTTTAACGCGACTGTTTTCAGTCTGTTTTCCGTTTGCAGATCTTCATATTCTATGGCTTCTTGTAATTTAACCTAAGGAAGTTTGCCAACAGAAAAAAAGTGACGCAGTCTGTTACAGAGTAACACATTTTGAAAACGTCTGTTGAAGCTGCAGAGCCATCGTCACCTTCTTTACAGGAGGCTGGAAGAAGTCAGAATCCCTCGAGTTTCCATCTGTACTGCTCGTCTCACTGGCTTGGTCAGCTGGTGTTTCCCTTTAAAACTGACACAGTTAGCAAGACAAATTAAGAGATTAAGCAAGTTATACTTTTTCTAAAGCTATTTCTTTACCCCTTCCGTGAGCCGGCTGCCAGCACCATGGCACTGTGATGGTTGAAGCGCTTGATGATGGCAGAGTTGCTGCTCTCCTTCACCGTCCGGTTCGAATTGGAAGTTGAGGGAAATGTTGTACAAACTCCGTAACCCTGCGTCACAAAAACACCAAGTCTTGAGGTCCAAGGAGAAAGACGGAAAAGAAAGCTGTGCAAGTAAATAACGTTTGAGTGGTATGACGTCGCTGTGATTGGCTAATCATTAAAACTCACCTCGTCTAATGATTTATCCTCCAACGACAGGAGGTCCACCAAAGGATTCTTCACTCCTTGAACCACCATAGACCTTAACCCTGCATGGGACAGATTTAAAAACATATGAAAACAGATTTGTGGCTTAGCGGTTTACTGACATCGCTAGAAAATGGGAGATTTGCATGTGAAAACGCTTTAAAGCTCCTACCCTGGTCGTCCTGCTTGGCACACTCGGAGAAGATATCCTGTGTTCCTGTGTTGATGCGGTCTCTGTGAAAATAATGGGACTGGAAAAAGCGGGTCCAGAACTCCTTCTCCGTCAGGTTATGAGGCACATTTTCACAATACTTCTGTTTCACTGCAAGTACAATGTAAGTCGACATGAATATATTGTAATGTATTTGCACTAGCTGCATATTTAGGATCAGTGACTGAGGTGACCAGGAATGCACTGAACTGTATATCTAAAGAGGTAACAGCTGATGTCACAAAACAATTTTTCCTCTCTGGCAGTGAAATCACTTTTGTATTTCTTAGTTGAAATACAAATCTGAGCTTGCAGCAGCCTTTTTCTGGTCCATCAATACTTTTGCATCTGATAATATAACTAAGTTTGCTAACATAAAGGATCAGTGTGTAAGATTTAGTGGCATCTAGTGATGAGGTGGCAGGTTGCATCCAACTGAATACTCCTCCACTCAGCCCTCCCTTTCCAAGCGTGTCACTGAACTACGGTGGCCTAGAGGTATCATTAGGATATCATTTCTACTAGGAGCTACTTTAATCGATAGTCTTATCATTTATTTTTCATGACTTAATAACTGCTTGCAATATTGGCTTTTTACTTGCAAATGTTTTATTAAACAGTAACATTAACGAGCGTAGTTGTCACTAACTCGAGTATTCTTCACGTCACCTGGTTCACCTCGGCCTCTCTGCTCCGTGTGTGTGTGTGTGTGTGTGTGTTGGAGGAGCTCAGCCCCGACCCAGAGAGCAGAGGAAATGCATGCTGCAGCGAGATATTAAATTACACCAAAACATTAAAAAGAAGCGGTAACTTCGTAGCTTATCCATACTCCGGATTTATAATTCAGAATTCAGCAGTGGGGTCCACTTTAATACCAGGTTTTGGTACCCATTCCTCCCTTCAGGTAACATGAAAACACAAAAGGCTCTCGCTCGAGCCAGTGCTTGGTTTGTCCCTTCTGGGCTGCTGTAGAAACATGGCGAACTCTGTGGAAGACGCCCCTCTAACTATGTAGATATGAATGACTCTTTCTCAGCAAACATAACGATTCTTAGTTTGAGGTCATTGTACACTAATGAAAACATAGTTCCAAATATCATATAACATTTCTGCCAAATAAATTCCCCTATATCCTCTACACTGTTCCTTTAAGATGTTATCGTTTACCTGTAGGGTATGTTCTGAAGATGGATTCAATAATGTCAGCAGTCAGATTATATCTCAGGCCATTGCAGCCATCTGTCTGAGGTCTAATGTCTGCCTGTAATGCACAAAAGTTACATTTAAAACCATGTTGTTACTGCGGAAGTTGTCAATGCTCAATCAATTGGGAAATTTAAGATAATATTTGTTTTCAAAATGTAAGGTCTAGTTGTGTCAGAGTTGATGTACTCACCAGAAAGGCTCCAGATATTCCGACTTCCTGTTTGTTGTTGGATAAAGACGAGTCTGCGTGGTTTGTGTCTCCTAACCGGTTAGCCCAGAATTCATCTGCACTGATCACCTGACTCACGACCAGATCTTTATACAACTGGAAAAGCACTGGATCTTCTTGAAGCATCCTACAGGAGAAAACACAATAACAATATTTTAAGAAGTAAATTATGAATGAATAGATTAATAGATTAGTAAATAATGAATGCCTAAGACCTTCATTGGTGATATCAAGAGGGAGGCGTTGATTTATAACTTCCTGTTAGGTATTGAATTACTGCAACACATCCAGGACCAGGAAAATACTTAATCATAGTATTAAAAAAAAGGAAATCCCAGAAAGTTTCTGAAGCAGTCTAATACAGCAGTCCTGCAATATTTCCTACCTCAAGAAGGTTTTAATATTCATTGTTGCCTTAACAACAGAATCTGTTGTCTTTAATGACATAGAATATTGCCAGACGTATCCTTTAAGGAGGATCTATTGAAACACCTCTGTCTCACCTGTTTTTCTCCTCCAGTTCCTTGTTGGCTTTCTTCTTGAACTTGGGCAGCAGCTGCTGCAGCAGCTCCTTGGCGGCATCTCTGTCTTTGAGTGCACTGCCGTCATTGGAAAAGTGGAATGTGGTACTCTCGCCAGTGTGAAGCACCAGCTGCAGCTGGATTTTGGATTTACCATCTGGGCTGATCTTCTGACCTGTACAGAGAACACATGAAGTGAAGCTTGAGGACATCCCCAACACATCGTTATTATAGCATTCATTGTAATAAGATGGTATCAAGTACTCACAGCGAATATCGGCGTACAAGTGGCTGACTGTGAAGCGGTCTTTACCCTCTGGTCCCCAGGCTATCCGTTCAGCCATCAGGTAAAGTGTGCCATCCTGCTTCCTCTGGCGAACCTTCTTCAGCACCAGCAGCACCTCCTCTGATAATGATGCCATGGCTCCAACTGAAACGAGTTATTCATCATTAATATTCATGTCCTGCACAGAGATACGGATCTAATCTAATTAATCTCACAGATAGAAGGATAAAGAACTGTGCTACCTCACTAACAAAGTATTTACCGCTATGACTAACCCACCTAGTCGTTACTTGACCTGCAGTAACAGTAACGCTACCATGACTTAGATATCAAGCACTTTGTATGAGATGCAAGCACGAACTATTTCAGCTGATTTCACTACAACGTCCTGAATAAATGTCGTGCGCTTTTCTGCCAGGTAACGTAATCCAACCCCATACTGATGTGTTGACGGTTTTATCATATTAATTTAGCTAACTAGCGTTACGTTAGCTAACGTTAACAATCAAGAAGAAGAAACCTGTCGGAGAAGTCCGCAATAAACTTACTTTAACGTTAATAAATCGATACTGCAACGGACACCTCGCTTTTCTTCAGCACATAATCTCAAACTAATGTATTCTTGAATATAAAAATAACTGAATGAGTTATTTCAAACGGAATTTTGACTACTCTAACAGCGAGCGTCCCGACTTCACCGCCGACATGACTGCCAGGCAGTGTTTCATTCAAAACGTTCCGATTGGAAAACGGGATAAAGAATCAGTTCCGTCAAAAAGTATATGCATTGAACAATTTAACCAATTCTACTAATATTAAAATAAAATAAACGATGATGTTAAACTTGTTTGAAAAAGCCTATTTTGGTAGAATTTGGTGCAATATAATTCGGCAAGCATAAATATTAGTCTTTATTAATGTTACATTTTAATATTATGCATTGTATTGCTTTTGTATTTAATTAATTCATATAGTATTAATACATTATTTTAATTTATTTATTTTTGCTTCCAAATGGTTGGACTCTGGCAGAAAAAAAGTTGGGGTAAATTTGGATAATATAAAATACTTGCAACTGATTCCAGGTAAATGTACTTCCTCTACGATTGAGTATAAATTACATAATCTTTTGGCCCTGTACTTGTAAGGGGCACCCTGTCAAAATAGTTTTCTGTCTATACTTTAGTTTATATTCAGGTGTATATTCCTGAATAAAGTTGTGTTTATTTAATTTACGAATAAGATAAGATAATCCTTTATTAGTCCCGTGGCGGGGAAATTTACAGGATTACAGCAGCATAGTGCAAACAAGGGACATATTAAAAACAAGATTAAAACAAGTATTATAAATAAGTAAATAATAATAAACAGTAAAGAATATTAACTAAGTAAAAAAGTAAAAATCCGCAATAGTTAAAATATAACAAAAAATATTATATACACAGACAGAATGATTTTTGTATTGCACAGTGTATTTATATTGCACAGAGGGGGTGAATCAACCGGTGGCTGAAGGAGCTGCACAGAGCTGCCACATAGCTTAGCCATCATCCTCCTGTTTCCCACCACTTCCACCGTATCCAGTGGACACCCCAGCACACTGCTGGCCTTCTTGATAAGTTTGTTTAGTCACTTCCTGTCAGCTGTCGAGATGCTGCTGCCCCAGCAGACCACTCCATAAAAAATGGCTGATGCCACCACAGAGTCCAAGAAGGTCCTCAGGAGTGCTCCCTGCACTCCTCAGCAGATAGAGTCTGCTCTGAGCCTTTTTGTAAAGTGCATGTATGGTCAGTCCAGTCCAGTTTATTGACAGCAACCTTGTTAATTCAACCAAGACAACACAATGTGTTAGCAATAACTATGCTCCCCAAGTTTTGATTGTGCACCCAGTGCTAACACTACTAGAGAATACAGTACACTAGTAAATACAATGTTTTGATTACTGTATATTGGGGAAAAGTTATGCTTTTTTATTTTAGAAGTATTACTTGCAAAAAATATATTTCTTAAGTTGATTCATTATTGAAATTAAACTGTGACTCAACGTATGTGTTTGATGGTGACTGACTACATATAAAATAATATTTAATACATATACAACTATAAATGATGGTGCACTGCCATAGGCAAAATAAATACATTTTCTATTGATGTGAAGAGATTCTTCTCGCTACCATCAGTGCATCATGCAAACACTTCAAGACAAGTCCATATAAAAAACAAGAACACAGAATTGCGAGTAAACATTAGATTTTAATGACAATAAAGACATTCATATTTGCAGAAGTTTGACACATAAGATGCAGGGCAAAGATAGCCTGAGTATTCGTACCTTCTTTTATTTATATATTCAATGGGTTGTGAGTTAATTCATCAACATAGATGGAGCTGTTTAAAATAATGACCAACAATCATTTAAAATTCAAATCCATGTTTCAAATCTTTCACATTTTACCACAAATATAATCCCTTTCCCCAAAAGAAAATATTACTACAGTGTTCTATAATATCTGAAGCCATTCTTGTGTATTTTTGACTCTCAAGTCATTTACAGTAAAAGAAAGAGAAACACCCTCTAAGATTGAAAACACCACATTGTTAAGTTTCCATAAAAGGAAAATCCTCTTCAAAAGCTAAAAGAGACACCAGGACACAAATATGTGCTGACATGACAGGGCACTATGTGGACCTGCCTCCCTGACAATAAATGAGAAGATGATGAGTATAAAGGGACAACTTCCAGGGGGTTACAAAAATTCCGACCACAACAGCTCTGCTGTTTAAAAGGTTAAACTTATCTACCCTTATTTGGGGCTGCTGAATACACAGAGGTGTGGGTCTTCACATATTGAGTCTCGACTAGCTAATAGTTTTTGGAGAGGATTTGTTAATGTTTATGTAAGTATATTAGTTAATTTTCTCCTTCAACTAAGCTTAGTTTTCAATGTTGTCTTGCTAATTTTTTACATTAGTCTGAGATGTCCTGACATTTAGCGACTTGGCAACCACACTTGTCAACTGAAATGTAGTAGTGCTTTATCTTTCTGCCATCATTACAGGTCATCTCCACCTCCTTCTTACTGGTGGCCATTTCTTGACAGCATGAGCATGAATGCATCAAAAGCTCTTTTTCCGCAGAGTACCTGTAAATAGAGGCAGTTTCAGACGGGATCAGTGTCAGTCACTTGCTGTTCAATGTGAACAAAACATATATCTTGAAACTACACATGAAAACTGAGCAGGTGATTTCAGCATGATTGAGTTAGTAGTTTGTACTCTACATCTCTCAGATATTTTGTTATAAATCTCACATTGATGAGGACGCTCCACAAGGTCCTGCACAGGCTGTAATTTCCACTGGCACAACTGACTTGCAGTCCTTTGTCTGCAGATAGGTGGTGTTCTTGCTCATTTGACAGTTGCTTTTTGGAGTACCTGTGAATGGCACATGAACATTTTTTTCATCTTGCTGCAAAACATTGTGTCATTTCAGTGGCAAAATAAAATAAAACCTCTAATATGTGGAGTTTTAGGCTCTGTTTTTATGCAAAAACTGCATCATGGGTAATCTAGTAATAATTTGAGTTCACTTTTAATTCAAATGAAAAACAATCCAGCTTCTGAATTATGAACATTTTTAGAAAATATCAACATATTAATCAATAGTGAAAATGGTCTTTGGATAATTGTTTTTTACCACTGTTGACGCATGTTATGAGTAACAGAGGATGACAGTGATATTGTGTAATTTGAATACATTTTATTGACTCATACTTACAAGTTTTGCAACAACCGATGTTATCACTTTGTTCAGTTCCCTGTAATATAAACAATATGGATTGTAAAATATGCAGATAAACAACATAGACTGATATAGAGTCTCTTATGCGTCATGTGTACAGTATTACTGGTGCAATATATAATGCAGTTTCTTCTTCACTATGTATTTGTGTATTTCAGCACATTTTGTGTATTGATGTCTCTCATATTTCTCATTGCCCATTCATCTAATTTCATCCCATTTACCAAAAGTCTACGATCAGAAATGGAAATCCTTTTTGTGCATGGTACCCAATGCATTAACAGAAATAGCTAAACTAACCCCATATTCTACAGTTTGGATGTAAAGTGCACTGTAGGATGAGTCAGCACCAGTTCAGAGTTATTTACAAAGATTATAGCTGACAGAAATAAGAACTTCTGCTTGTTTCAGGACTGGATTATACTCACAGGAATGCAGTTTGCTGGATCAAATGCAGGACATGTTGTTAGACTTTTAAAGGTTATGAAGTCATCCTTCACCTTTTGGCAATCATACTTGATACACTTATCATTTGGCGGTGACCAAGACTGAGAAGGCTGTCAGAGGTATAGAAGAGGTCAATTAGTGAACATAAACATTGACTGGTACCAAAATTTAAGGTGACAGATTTCTGAAGATGTTCCCATTACACTGTACTTACTTTAATGATTATCGGAGAAGTGAAGCCTGGGACCTCCACAACACAGCTGTTTTTTTTACATGATCCACAACATTGTCCAGGTTGGTTTTCATACACATAGCCCTATTAGGAAAAAAAGCACAAATCAAAATAGTGTGCAACTTCATTCAATTAAATGTATACATAATAACTAATAAGTAGTATTTACTATACTGTCTCGTTCATCCAAATTAAATAAAGAACTTGTAGCTCACTTACCCCAAAAGTTATATCAAGCCATTCTGATGTTAAAGGTTTAAGATATCCATCTCTGAGATTCTTGCTGCCACCCAAATTGGGGTGAATGTAGTTTGGTTTGTGGTGCTCAAAACACTACAATTTTTTGTCATTACATTCCCCTTTTGTTTAAATTTGGAAGGCGGCAGAAATCTCAGAGACAGATGTCTCAAACCTGTGCAAATACAACCGAAACATTTGCATGACTAGAGACTAGACATAACACGGATAAGTAAAAAAAAATCTTGTAGTTTTGTTAAGTTTTGTTTTTTTGTTAAACTCGAACAAAACACATCTTCAAACCTGTCGTCATGTGCACATAAACAGCAAAGTCTATGCATCTGCAAATGGTAAACAGATCAACACAAAAGCATGTGCTCTCATGGTAAACATTTTTGTACACTATATACCTTTACTTCCTATTTAATTAAAAACTGCAATGCTGTTGATAGTTACATACAAACGTACCTCTGGACACAGTGGGCCACAGTCTATCACAAAACACATAAGGTGGTTCAACTTGCTTCCGGGATCCTGATTGTTAGTACAGCTGCATGATTCACATGGGTCTTTGAAGAAATCCATACCTGGCTGTAAACAATGAAACGCAGAGTCTTAGCTGTATTTCATATAAGGCCAGCAAATTAAATGTCACTATTGTCTAACAACATCTATGTTTAACTTAAATACTATTGTTAAGATAATACTTAATTTATCGTATAGTTAATTTAAAGATTGCAGTGTTTTAGTAACACTTTAACAAACAAGTATACTCTTATTTGTGCACATTTAAGATATATACAGAATATTATTCCTTACCTTGTACTCAGTATCATTGAAGACACAGACGCCTTTGGGTACTAGATTAAAATAATGACAAATATGATTACATTAAAGGCTTATGCATAGTTTAGTTTGAAGTCTTTCACACACTAACACAAAGCAAATGGAACTGAAACTTATATGGAAAGCTTACCACAGCTGTAAGACTGGCAGCAAGTGTCATTTGACATTTGGATCTCCAACTCAAATCCTAGTTCGCACTTCTGTTTATGCAACGCACAGAGGTCCCTATCACATTCTGTTCGTTAAAAGGAAAGACATTTCAAAGGCTGGTAAGTATGACAAACAAATTAACTATTAACAGGTACTCCTGGAAAATAGACGATTACTTGTTGTTACCTACTAAGAAGGCACTTTGAGTATCCTGTATGATACTGATACAGTATATTCAGTTCATACGAAGTCCAATCAACTCTCTAAAACAGTTACAACAAAACATTGAACATTTTAACCTACATTGAGGTATTTAGGATTTATAGCACAATAGTTGTATTAGACTGCATTCGGTTTAGCAAAGACAACCCAATAAACTGGCATCTGAGTGTATTTTCTCTGGCTTTGGAAAGCTATTATGCAGAAGAGGAAATAAGATATATGCAACTGTTTTCACAAACTAATAATAAGGAGTAGTACTCCTTATTATGAGAAAACTGATATTTATGTATAAAATGAGTGAAGTTCCCACTAAATCATCGAAAGATCCTTCCATTAAAAATTGTCGGCAGATGAAGGTATGTTACTTTGAATCACTCACCACAGGTCTGTCTATCACAGCAGTCCACTTTGCGCTTCTTCAACAGCTCACCTTCCTTGGTACAGGTTATTGGCTCCTCAGTGGGACATGTGAGAGGCTTACACTGAACACTCTGAGTGTCCTCATCACAAGTACACTGATTACAGTTGCTCTGCCAAGTCTCACCATTCTGTTTTAAGACGGAACAGAGTTCGTAACGTGTCAGCAACAAATACTCTGTGAATAATGATTATCAGTCACGTATGGTAGCATTTACCTGTTTAGGTTGGCCGTCAGGTCCAGTACAACCTTTAACAATACAAAAAAATTAGTTTACCGAAACATTAATTCATTCTCAAAGAATCAGATTTTTCTTCACAACAATAAAATGATCTTACAGGAGGTGACACAGAGGTCAGAAATTGTGCTGAACAGGGTCATCCCCTCTGGGCAGAAACATCCCTCTATGATGTCATCACAAGCTTGGTTTTTTTTGCCATTTCTTTCCTGGCATTGTTGTGCATGCCTCTCATTGGATCTAAATATGAAGAGAATTGATGGTGAAAAAAAACACATAATTATTTCAGAAAAATAAAAGTATAAATTAATTAATAATGCATAAGTGATGAGTATAATGCAGTATTGTTTTGTTTTTTTGCCATGCTAGCGGTATGGCTCTATAGATAGCAGTGTTGGTCTGTTGGTCCACCACTTTGGTCCACACTGAAATATTTCAACAACTCTTTTAAACAGTTGTACAGACATTCATGGTCCCCAGAGGGTGAATCCTAATGCCTTTGTTGATCCCGACATTCCCTCTACAACAACCATGAGGTTGACATTTGTGGTTTTAAGTGAAAACTATCAAAACTATTGGGTGGATTGCAGTCATTTGGTACAGACATCCAAGAACCCCTCAGGATTAGTTTGTAATGACTTTGGTAATCCATTCACTTTTCATCAACCCCTATCATCAAGTCAACATTTTTATTTGTTTTGATTTATCACCAAATACCTGCAAAACTAATTACATCCCTAGCTGGCTGACACGCAAAACTAAGATGGTGATAATGGTAAAAATCAGTGCTTAACATCAGCATGTTTGCATTGTCATTGTGTGCATGTTATGCATGCTGATGTTTGCATTTGGTTCAGCCTAATTACAGCCTCTCAGAGCTGCTAGCATGGCTATAGAAACTAAGTCTTGTTAAATTACAAGCTGCTGACATTATTTGATTCATGATATTGATAATAAAACTGAGCGATTACTGTACCTTGCATTGCAAGTTGGAACAACAATTGGCCCGCAAGGCTTGTATACCATATTGTGTGGACATTCAAGTTCTACGACAAGAGAAAAATAGATTTAAACATCAAAATTATGAAAAAATTGAGTTAGCTTTCTACTGAACTGAACCTCTCCTACCACACTGTCCATTTGTAGCATTCCTCCAGGTTATACAGACAGATGCTTCAGCACACATCATGGCATATGTCTCCATACTGGAACAACCAATGGTGGAACTTTCCATGTAGCAAACATCAAATTTACAGCTCTCGTAAAATGGTGTTGGTGGGATTACTTTGTGGCATTCCTCAAACACCCTTAATGTACAAATCAGAAGGAAGACAGCTGTTAATCAGAGTGATACTCAAGAATTAATTGACATATTGTGTTCATATCTATTCTGTAAATTCTTACTGGCTGATCAGAATTTCACAGATATCAGGTTGGCAGGGTTTTCCTGTAGCTGTTGGTTTTGGTGTTGGTGGAGGAGATGGGTTCTCACAATATGGTTTATTCTTATCCGATATATGCCACTGTCCCATTTGAGAGCATGCGGGATTAATCTGGCCATTTGGTAATCTGCAGTCATTTGTCCTGTTATTGTCACAGTTACCTTGTGAAAGTAAATAGTAAAATGACAGATATTACAGCTCATGTGTTACCACATGTGGTACATCCATTGGCACTTACATATTAAATCCAGGACTGTTTACGTATTTTCCTCTATGAACGTAACATGCAGCCTCATTTTCTGTGTTATTCTAACAACAAATTGATTATCAGCTTACCACACTGTCCCTCTGTGTTGTGGTGGAAAAGGGAAAACGGCAGGTCAATGCTGAAAAAAAGCGCTTTGAACATCACAATGGCTTCAATTTCCGGAATTCTCAAAAGCAGCTCAATTGCTGTACTAGTTACGGTGAAGTCATCATTGGAGTAGGTTGGGATTACCTGCTTGCCGTTGATGAATACCTAAACAATTTTCATCATCATTAGCACTGCATATCATTTAAATATATTTAAAAAAAGTAATTTAAATAAGTTTAAATTTGTGTGGCAAAATGTACCTTATTTACGATTGGGTTTCTCTCCTGTGTAAGAATAACTTCATAGTTTTTGTAATACACGATCAAGGATTTAGCACAGGCACCAGTTCCTTCGGGATTACAGTTTTCGTTGTCGATAAGAATTTTAAAATTGTGTCGAGGAACGATCTCTTTGACAAGGACGTATGTGCAGTTTTTCTGGAAGCTGTAGTGCTGGCCATCAAATGTCAGATGATGACGATCTCCCCAGCCAGTGCAAACACCTGCAAATATTAGATTGAGATAACATTGAGTTTTACATCAAAGCAAAATAATTATACTGTACGTTTTATTGTGGTATTTAAAGATGTTGCTTGAATGTGAAATGTTAAAAGGTTTTCACTTACATGTGCAGTCATAGTGGAAACAGCAGCCCCCTTCATCATAAACCCTGACTGGTGGCCGCACATTTTCACATACAGGCATGGTGACTGGTTCACATGGCACATGTTCTGTTGTTACTCTTCCATTATCACATGTTTCTGTGGTGCAGTTGTTTGAACTCCAGGACTCACCATCCTATAAATGGCAAAGTAGTACTTTTAGTAATCTACTACCAGTGAAATAAATGCTATGATTTTACATTGATCAGTGCTAATGAGACACAGTATATGCATAGATGTTATTATCAATCCCACTAATAGCTTGACATTCTTCAATAATTGTTATGTTGGATTTATTTGTAGATGTAACCTGTAGTGACATACTGTATGAGGTACACAGTAAAGTTATATTACTTATATGTAAATCATTTTATTTATGGAGCTATTTGTTTTGTTTATGTATCAATATCTCATTCTGTTAGTTTCGTATGTTGTGAGTTGGTCTTATGGTGTGTATGAAAGTGTTTTTATGTTGTTTGTTAATGTGGTTTGTGATAAGACCCTAAAGAGATTACCCTCTGTTTTAATTGAGCTAATGGGGACACTAATGAATTAAATTATATTAAAAATCCATTGACCTTTGTTCCAATATTCTGCAACTACTGGGGGAAAATATCTAATGATATAAGATACTTCTACTCGACTGGAGATTTTTTCCAGGGAAGACCTAAGGTGTGAAAATCAACAAAGAAGCACCCATCAATAATATGGATGTATTTGAGGCTTTTCAAATTAATCAGTAATTGCATGTTGAATTGAATTTATTGACTACGGTTGCACTTTAATGTTGATGGTTTCATTGACAGCTTAAAAGACCAATGAGAGTGTGCAGAATATGCATTAAAATGCCTTATTTTTATCCAAAGGAATCAAAGACCTTGTTTCAGGCGCTCTCTCAGAATAGACACTCTTTAAACAATGCCAGTTAAGATGATTTGTTCCTTGTTTAACTAAATTCAAATACCTCTCGAGGTGGCTCCAGATATGAACAGTCTTTGGGACGCTTCACTGTGGATGAAGCAATTGTACTGGCAGTTGTAGAGCCAATTTGTTTTGTAGTGCCAGAGCTTGTTGTGGTGGTAGGAGTTGGTGGAGTCGCATGGTGACATGGTCTAGCAAGCTTCTCAACATTGCATGTCAAATTGCAATATGCAGTGAAACACCAGCCTTCTCCATCAGTCTTATTGTACATGAAGCTACCTATATGAGAATAAAACCAAGGCAGTTAAATCCAAAATGACGAATGTGTGAGAAAAAAAAAGTTACAGTGCCAGGGTTACAGCTGTCTTTATAATGCAACATTTGTGAATACTATTCTATTCACATTAAAGTTTTCTAAATGGACACTACAATATGAAGTATATGTCTGGATCCATGATCAGAACTAACTTAATTGTACATTATCATTAATAGTTCTAATTTCCCCATTTTGGCAATAGACGTCAGTAGGAATGTAGTCGTGACTGAATTTTCCAGTTTCAGTGATGACTTATCCCTTCACTGTGCAGGTGCCATAACCAACTATAAGCATGGAAAAAGATGAAAAACATCTTCCGCGAAGAGAATAAAGTGTATTGGGTTTTTTTTCGGAACGCATGGACTGCGGATATGTACATCAATTTTACCAAATCGAGTTTTGTACAAGATCCAAAAGGGATGAAGGGTAAATCAGACTGTGGATTATGATTATAGATCTCAATGCAAACAAGGTTTGAGGATGAATACCTTGGAGTTTAGGCTGCACCTTGAATTAGATGTGCCAAGTTGCATTCTAAGGACAGGTGTAACCATGACCAAAATATTAATAATGATAAAATGAACAACAAGTGAGGCAATAACCAATTGCTTACCAGGAGAAAACAATTGCTCCATGTACTTGCAGGAACATAAAGTTGTTCCGCCTGTTGTTGAAGACTGAAGAATTAAAGTGGTGGGTTTTTCTGTAATGGTAGTTGTTGCTGTGGATTCTTCTGTGATTGTGGGTGTTTCAGTTAGAGTTTGGGTTGTCTTTTTGGTAGGCTTTTCTGTGGTTGTTACTGGGGTGCTGGGTTCTTCAGATGTTGTGGCAGCTGTAGTTTGTTCCTTTTCTGTGGTTGTGGGGGTTGATATTTCTGTCACTGTTGTTTTTTCTGTGGTTGTAGTAGCTTCGGTGCTGGATTTTTCTGTGGCTTTTGTAGCTGTAATCGTGACCATGGGTCCTGTTGATGGTGCTGTTGTAAACACTGTATTTGTTACAACTTCAGGGGTTGTTGTGGCAGGCGTTGTAGTTGTTGTAACAGCAGTAGTAATGGGATGTTCTGTGATCGTTGTCGTTGCCTTTGCGGTTGTTGTTGAAATGGTGGGCCTTTCTGTGGTTGTTGCGTATTCTTGTGTGATTGTTGTTGTGGTCGGTCTCTCTATGATTGTCAAAAAAAGAATAAACTGTCACAGACACTGCGTATTTTGGAAATCATACACACCTTTGCATTTTTATAGCTTTTTATTCTTACCACTTGTTTCAAAATTAAAGACTGTTGTTGATCTCTGGATGGGTGTAGTTGTAGAGCAAGTCTCTATGATTCTTGTAATATTTCCTTTTGCTCCACAAACAGCCGTGATACAGGTTCCATTTCCATCATGTGTGTTATAGACTGTCTCTCCATACTTGTACAGATCTCCTTTGTATGAACAAGTGCAAGCTGCAAAATAAATAATCATTAATAATCGTTTTTTTCATAGATTCATTCTATTGTCTCTTAATTAATCCTTGTGTTATGATCACATCACAGAAATGGTCATAACCATACTTACTTTGGATGTCATAGATGCACTCCATCTTTGTTGAAGAACAATAACTAAAAGGTAGACAAGAGAGGGAATATTTAAAAGCAATTACACAGTGGGCCTTTTTTAGTTGTTGATCAATCTATCGATAGAGTAAATAATTAGAATTATGATATTACATTATTCCAGAGCTCCTCACAGGACACTGATCAGTCCATGCACTGGCTTGCTGGATAAACATGCAATACTTGAAGACTTACACGATGGATTTCTGTGTAATCTGTTATCAGTATCTTTGTAAATTGCTTTGCGCCAAGTGTGAGGAGAAGCGCCTATAATATCTTGGCCACTTCATTTGGTGAAGGTGCATTCATATAATACCCAATTTCTTAACGTTCTGCTTGTGTTTCCACTTTTAGTCTACATTTTTCAGCCAGATGAAAGAACAAAAATTACAGATTGATTCTTACCGCCATCTTTCATCCCCGGTAGCCTACAATGATGGCCTTTTTAGTGACTGTATATCATATAGATAGTTAACCTTAGGTTGGTGTTCTCAGAAACAAAAGAGGATCATTGCCAGAATAATTCTGATGTTGCAATATGAAGGTTAAGCAGCTAATTCTTTCCATATTGTCAGCAATTATTTTTCCATGTAAAAGAAATCTGACCAACTCAAACATAAATAAAAAATACAGTACAACTAGCAACAAACACGTTTTTAACTGTAAATGGTTATTGTATGGATTGTGATGATAAATAAAATCGTGCAGTATTATGCACAGAAAGTAGACAGTAGGATCTTAAACATATTCAGAAACAAAAATGATCCATCCATATATCCATTAGCTATACCCCCTTATCCCTTTTGAGGGTCTTGGGGGGGGGGGGGCATATATGAAGCTTTGCAGGTCCCACACATCAACACGTTTCCTCTGAGGGAAACTTTCTTAAGGGTTCTCAAACTGACAAACATTCCCAAAATGACGGGGAGAGTCTTCTGTATAAAGGGGATGAAAGTAACAAATGTGATTGGCCATGATTGTCACAATCTCTAACAAGCCCACCTAGAATATATGATAATATATTCTTGCTTATTCCACTCTGTATCAAAGTGTGCCGAAGGTGCGCCAGGCGTGTCTGACGCACTGGCCACGCTGCACACTTAACTGTGATCTGCGCTACGCATTTGCAATAGTGGTTGCCCTTATGTCTTATGTTATTGTCTTATTTGTTTTTTTTCACAATTACCTTAATTTATTTCATATATAGATATTGTGTATATTGTATGATATAAATATTATTATTAAGATGGAAAGTGACCTACCACTTGTGACAGATTTCCTGAGGAGGCATGAGCGCCCCTTCTTTATAATGCTTCCCTTCGTTATCATAGCAGCCACAGTTTTCCTGAGACACACACTGCATTGTATCTTCTTCCAAATAAGATCGTTCAGGTGGGCAATTTGGATAGCAACCTTAAAAAATGAAATGTTATTGTAAATTGCAGAACTAGCACCCAAAAGTTACAGACAGGAAGTCTAGCCTAACTCAAGTGAGAATCTCTGTGCGGTGAAAGAAAAATCCTTAACATTAAGCACAATTGTGCTTAACCAGTGGGCTTTACTAGAAAACACCAAACATGGTTAACTCTTTGATTAAAAACCTTAAAAATACATACACTATTACATTTATGTCATTTCTACCTTCTAGTGCTGGAATGTGATTGTAGCATGCTCCTGAGGGATTGCTGCATGTCTTCATGCATGGTTTTCCACAGGGCTCATAGTGCCATTCACACTCGCCATCAGGGTTGTAAAAATCACAGAACAGAGCTAATGAAACAAAAGAAAGGAATATTAAAAAGATACAATATAAGATTGCTTATTCATATATAAAATCTTCGTAATAAAATGCAAGTCAGACTTTATTTGTAAATTCAATATTTTAAATGACTAATGACAGATGGTGATTACAATCACATTGCTTTTTTGGTTTACGTCCTTACAGAAACACAAATAAAACACTCACGGCAGATTGTGGGAGTCCTCCATTTCACGCAGGCTCCTGCCTCATTACAGGCTGCTGCGTAGGCTGCTACAGCCGAGCAGAAACATTCACAGTCTCCTCCTGTGTTGCAGGAACAAGTGTCTTTCACACAAGTATCATAATAGTTTTGTGGATCCACCTTTTTGAAAGAAACCATTGTAAATGCAAGTAGAGTCTGGATTATATTCTGATTGCTAATTATACAGACAGTAATTGAGTAGACTGTTATTTGGCAGATTTCTTACCTTTGAATGGCAACCAGCAAATGCTATACTATTGATAATGCTGCAGTGTTTTAATGCCCATGCTTGCCTGTGTGAGTACAGACTGCAGGGATTTTTGTGTGTTTTAGCATTAGGGCAGGTAGGTGACACTTTCCAGCTGTTTCCAAAGTCAAGGGCTTCAACAACAACTTCTTTGTTTCTGGTGGTAAAATCGTTCTTGATATTTCCATCGTAATTCCCACAAAGACCACATACTTTTCCCTGGGATGAAATGAGATCTAGTTAATTTGTAAAATGGCAACCTTATTAACATGTATCTGAATGCCTGTATATCTCCTCACCCACCTTGAATGTGGGCTTGAGTTTGATCGTGAGTGTTGTCTTCTTATTCCAAATGAGAACAAGACCATTCTTTGCCTCAATGACAATGTATATGCCCATAGTGTGGACTTTAAAGGGTATGTCCAGCCCTTTGCTTTGTTTGATAACTCTCACATTTTCCTCTGAAAGAACAATTTCATTATTCTGAAAGAAACAAAACATGCTTATTTGTAACCCTGAAATATTATTTTCAACATTAAAAAAGTAATTCTAAATGCATATAATAGTGTTATGTACCCCTAGGTAGAGTTTGATAGCAGTGGAGCAGATGCTTTCAGTTGTTCCACATGGGATGCTCTCAGTCAGGACCCGAAAGGTCCCCTTCATATCGCCCTCACAGTAATCCTGCAAGATATTGATGTCAGTATTACAACACTGACTTTTGACAAATCACAAAGTCTACTGTATATAAGTCTGTGCATTACCTGAGTGAAGACGTAGCCACAGTCCCCATTAAAGGAGAATTTCTTTTCATCAAAAGTGATGTAATGCCCTTCTCCATATATGTTACAGGTTCCATCACAATCACGATCTGTGCATTCCCATTTTCTGCTTTTGCAGGTGCTATGATTTAAATAGATTAAGTGATGTCAAGTCAGTCATCTTCGAAAAAACAACAACACACACAACAGTGACCTGATACAGTCCTACATTAGTATGGGAAGAATAAAGGGCTTACCAGGTATTGCAGTTCACAGTGACAGTCTGTCCAGAATTATAGGAATCTCCATTATATGTGCAGGGACAGTTCTCCTTCTTAATACAACCTCCTTTACCATCCGACAGCAGGTCAGCAGGGCATACGCAGCCTGATATACACTGTGTGCTGACCTATACAGTGTGACAGCAAATAATTCAACATACTGCTTTAATATACATGTATAGAATATTCAACAACAGATATGATAGCAAATAATTCAACATACTGCTTTAATGTACATGTGTAGAATATTCAACAACAGTTATGAACCAGTCTCTCAATCTTACACATTCTGCGTCCAGCATCTGGCAGCTGTTTTGGCACTCGGACCCCGTGTCACTTGGCTTTGCGCTTGAGCAGTTGAAGAAAATCATTGGCTCTGTACATGCTGATGACAATGATAGTGTGTTACAAAGGACACCACTGTATGCTTGGTGTTGGTTTTACTGTGCTTCGTTATAGAAGGATTACTATGAGGATCTGAGTGCTTTGTACCAACATTTAGTTATTTGGGTTCCTGTACATCCTAGTTTTCCACTGTGGCATGAGCTGAAATACATAGAAAGACACGCAAGGTTAATTCTTACTAGTTTCTGCTCAATTTCTTGCAAAGCAAAAACAGAGGTCAGTGGACAGTGTCTCCCAACTTGTAGCCTATAGATCTGCAATTCTCTTTAAGTCATTTACACAGATAGGCTTACTTGACGGTTTGCAGGGAGCTGGTGACATTTTTAGCACATACTAAGCGAAAAGCAGTGTACGTCTGACTGATCACTGGTCTATCACACATGCAAACAGATTCATGTGGGCAGTTTAGTGATTCCAATCACTTAATACTTGGGAAATAATCCGGAAGGTCAAACCCAGAACCTTTTTGCTGTCCACTGAACCAATGTGACACACTTTTAAAATGAAAATACAAATGAACAAAGGGAAGCCACTTGTGGGAATCGGCACTTCAAAATAAAAACAAAACACTGTCCCAGATAAACATTACACTTTAAAAGTTGACAAAATTGACCCACACTTGAGACCAGTGGTGGGCCGTGCATTTTATACCTAGGCCTTCACTGCTGTCCTGCAGCTGAAATACCACCTTATAACCACATGATGGCGCCACAGCTATTATTCATTTTTAAGGCTGTAACTATGTACATCTTCGTATTAAACTGTTCGGTAAGAGTCGTTTGAATAATGCTAGAGCATTTAGAAAATGCAAAAGCCTAAATTCAGGAACATATAATGTTCTCAGCTGGTCTGGCTGTGGGATCCGCCATCATTCCTTAATGACAAGTCGTGACCCAAAGAGATTATCATAGGATTTTACTTTCACAACTTGAATGTACTGCTCTGCAATGTCTTTCCTCGTCTCAGCCCCCTGTGTCATGGTGTGTGGTACATCTCACTCATTCAGAATGCCCATATTTGATTGGCTGAGCTGCATCACGCGATGTGATTCACTACCCGACAGCCTCTGCTGTTAAGTTTCATTTCACGATAGTCACGTGCTCGCCCACTGACCAATCACAGCACACTCTGCACCTCGCGGCAGAGCTACACATGGACACTGAGCTGCACCAATGCTGACGTCATTATAGGCCGGCTAGCAGGTGCTGACACGTTAAAGAATACGCCCAACATGTCAAACTAAAGATCTGATTGGTTGAACATTATGACAATGAACAATATCGTCCCCATTCACTTAAACTACACTGGATGCACCTGAGACTCTGCAGGCCTGGGTCTCTGTTCTTACCTAGAGACACAGAGGTGAAATCTGATTGGATAAAAGCTCTACTTAAAACAAGCTGCACTGGAAGCAGAGCAACTGAGGAAGACAGTAGCTGTGCAATGAGAAAATAAGATAATGGGAAAAATATTTTTATAAATTATAATACATGTAGTGTATTTAAGAGAAAGTATTAAATTATAAAATAGATATAGCTTTGTGATTCTGTTTAGGCCAGCAGAGAAGGCCTTGCAGGCCCTGACGGCCTGCCACTGCTTGAGACCCACTAATGCAGGATACTTTTGTTCAGTTAAAATGAAATGCTCTAGGGGAGCCCTGATGGCACCTATGACCCGCAATATTCCCTATTCTCCTCCTGCTCGGGACTTTTGATGCATGTCATAACCCATCTCTCTCTCTTCTCATCTCTCTCTTCTCGCTTTCGTCAGCTGACAAATAAAAGTCTAAAATAACCCAATAATAATCATTAAAAACTATTGTTCTGCTTACATTTTACTTGAAATATTGAAAAACTCACCAAGTTTGTCCATTGACTTTAATGATATGCCCGGGGCTTATCTGCTGGTCTCCCATATAACAGGAGCAGCTTGAGGCTGGCACACACTGTCCATTGTCATTGAGGTAAGTTCCTTCAGCACAGCCGCAGCCATCAAGCTGGGTAAACTCAACCTCACATGTTGAGTCTGACTGACTAAGAGAGCGGCAGGTGCGACCACAGCTTGTCATTTGGTAGCCATACACAAAAGTAGAAGGGCAGCCAGTCATGTATTTCTCTTTTGAAAGGAAACAGGTTCACTTAGAGTTTAAATATTATCAATGAAAATGGACTTCATTTATTTTACATTTGATAATTTAGGTTTAACTTACGGCATACAGTGTTCCTCCATCCATTCAATACGACACCTTCAGCAGCACATGCATGGACATAAGAGGATATAGCAGCACACATGCACTCCTCACTGTTATCACAGGCACAGGTGTCATAAGTACAAGACTGGAGAGAGAAGCAGAAACAAGCTCAATTAATAGGTGAAACGTTAAATTGTTAAATAGGTAAAATAACACAAATACATACACACATGCATACAAAAATAAATTACTGCTTACAGCTTCATAGTCTTCTGGATTTATTACAGAATGGCACTTTGCAAATATCGCTTTTGGGTCTGACAGCAGGCCGCACCAGTGTTGGGCATATTTCTCTACAAAGACAAATAAACATGTCTATTGGTAAAATGTTAAAAACAATGATATCAAGATATGAAGTATGACGACTGTCACCTACCCTTGTTTATGTTCAAAATGCAGGGGTCCCCAATTATTTTTGTCACATCAGAGCACAATGGTCTGGTCTTCCATGTGTTGACAAATGTCCCAGCCGTTCCCTCAGTCAGTCCATTTGTGGTCTTGAAGTCATCAGCTTCCACATCATTAAAATCTCCGCAAAGACCTGGATAAAGGTAATGGTACTTAATACTTTCTACAATACTTATTGCAAAAGGCGGATCATTTACACTATAATCAAAAGAAGTGAAACATACCCCTGAGTTTTCCCTTATTGGAAACACTGACTTTGATGTAGACCTGCATAATGGGGGTAAGCTGAATCTCGAGAACAAGCCCATAGTTGGTGTGGATTACAATGAAGAATGTCGATGGGCTGAAGACTGTTATATCATCTGCAAGGGAATATATTTTCACATTGAATAAAGAGATTTAATTTGAGCAAACTCAAATAAATGTTGCGATATCACCGGCGAATGAGCACTAAAAAGAACCAACCACTTACCCGTGATAAGAGGCAGCGGAGTGTTCAGTTTGTTATAAGAAACATGTCCATTAGCTTCAACTACAACCTTCTGCAGTGGGAAAAAATGACAATATGTCAAAAAACCTTATAAACCTTTCCAGCAGATGTGAAATGGAGAAAATCCTAAAAAGTTCTCTTTATTAAGAGAAAACCATAATATACTGTTAATTTACCATGGATTTAGGCAGTAGTAGGGTGACTGCAGTCAGACAAGTCGACTTATCTGACGTTTTACATTTGGCCAGGTTAGCAAGGACGCTGAAAATCCCGTTGGTATCCTAAAGTCCAGAAGATAAAAATGCACTTAATTACAAGCAGTTTGCTTATTAACAAGCATTGCACCTTTGTATGTGGATTAAAGGATGAATTAATTTAATTTGAAATGCCTCACCTTGGAGAGAATATAAGAGCACTGTCCATGGAAGGAATACATTTTGTCATCATAGGTGGAGATGTGGCAGCCTCCCAGCATGGAGCAGATACCAGGACAGTCTATATTCTCACAGCGCCACTGAGCCTGGGTACAGGTGCTGTCAACAGAGTTCAGTCAGTCCAATTGTACAGATCACCTTAAATGCACATGTTATGAACATTATATTGCAAATAGTGAGTAATTACCAAGTTTGACATGTCATTGAGTATGATTCCCCTGGTTTGTATGGCTTGCCATTGTGTAAGCAGGAGCATGTGTCAGCAGCAACACACCCCCTTTGTGTAATGTCATCAAAAACAGTCCCTTGGGAGAAACATAATGACATGATTAGTCTAGTAAAGTAAACAGTTCTACACAATGTCAACCCCATTAATAATTTGTGCATATGCAACATAAACTTTATTTTTTCCATTTTAACATAAATTTAAGGGATGTAAAAGATAACAAGATCGTTTATGTGCATCCAAGATCAACACAAAACTGCATAAAATGCAAGCACCTCATTTACATTTCATTGTCCATGGCCTGACAACTTTCTCTATTAATTTGCGGTACATTAGGCTACACAGATGTATAAGTGCACCTAACTGATTGCAGCCAAAGTTATGTACAATGTAACATCTCAACTGTACAAAGAAGAGTGTTGAGAGGACAAGGACAACTGTAATGAATGATAAACTCACTATATTAACGAGACGTAATTGATTCAGTATTTGTAGGCAACTAAATACACACAGGTCCTAGCCTGCCGCCTAATCTATAACTCCTGCTTCTGTTGTTATAACAACTTGATGGTAATTTAATAGCATGAATTACTCATTTTGCACACTAATTTCAAAAGTCAAGAGCACAAATGAAGTAATTAGAGAGCATACATTAATCATGTGTGAACGGAAGTAAACCCTCTGATATCTACTGGACTACCAACATCATCTGAGCTGGTTTTAATATCAGGAAACTTACCAGTTGGACAAAAGCATCCATCTAAGCAGTGATCCTCACACACGTGACTTCTCTGGGGGTTGCTGCAGGTGTCAGCACAGGGACTACCACATTCTTTATACTGCATGTTGAAAGGGCATGTTTTTGCTATTCAACACACAAAAAAAGTAACATTTAGAAACAGTGATTCTGATTCAACTACAGTAAAAAACGTCTAAGCTCAACCATTAATGTTCTTACCACACAGTTTTGCTGTCTTCCATTGCTGTGGTACCCCGCCTGCATGAGCGCACTGACGAGAATACTCCGATGTGGTTGAACACAAGCATGAGGTGCTACTACAGTGGCACAGGTCCTTCAGACAGGCTTCGATAAAGGAGTCAGTATCAATCAGCGTTTGACAGCTGAGGAATGCAGTTCCTTTCAGCAGGTTTTCACAGAGTTCTTTCTGCGGGGCAAAGTATATGATGTATTCAAAATGTACCTTGACTATTGTTATGTATAGAATTATGTGAAAGGCCATTTTTACATACTTGATTTTCACAGGTCTCTGTGACGGGAGAGGGGATGCTTTCACACTCTTCAGTAGGACCATTGGCTATCCAAGGATTCCCATAATCTTCAAGACTTACAGACTCCCCTGTTTCAAGAGGAGAAAGAGGTTTTAGCGTATGTGAAGACTGATTTTGAGCACAGATTCTTTTGGCTTTATTATATATTCACCTTCTTTGATGAACTCGTCATAAACCTGGACTCCATTGTAGTCACCACACAGGCCACAGGTCTGATTCTTGAATTTTGTATCCAGCTCAATCTTAAAACCAGGTGAGAATTTGAGTTGAAATGAGTAAGTTAATTAAGAAATCTCGTAACTACTGTTAATATTATGCACTTTATTTCAAAATTACTTCCCTTTGATTTAACATGGATTAATCTTTATGCCCCTATAGTCAATTCTCTAATCTCCCAAACAGCAGTAAAACTAAATAAGTGTAAGTTATCAACAATAATAATACAAAGCAATTTTGAGGTATTATTTATACGTACGTGCAATGTACGAGGACATAATGAATACACATACCCAGAGGGAGTCTTCTTCATTCCACATGACGACCAAACCCATTTTTGCCTCGATTTTCACGTAGGACACGACTCTTTCAATCGAAATGCCAGCCTGGCTGAATGGTATAGCGATGCTATAGGGAGAGGGGGAGGGGGATAAGACATTAACCATCACTGGAACCAGATCATCAGCTGGTAATAAAAAGTCACATTATCAACACCGACTCAGTTATTAAACCTCTGGCCCAAGCAATACGACAGAATTCAGACCTCTGGGTGTAACCCATCTTGTGTAGCCAAATGGAAGACTATGGAGTTATATTTAATGGATACATGTGTTGGTAAAGAGAAGGAAATATTGCAGACGGTGAGTCAATGGGTTTCACTGAAAGTATGGGTGGAAGTGGTGAAATATTTCCAACTCCAAAAAGAGATTAAATTACCTAGATAGCCGGTATATGACCCCGATTTTACTTCAGCAATGCGAGATCATAGACACCGACAAGCTGTCTATTCTGGTATCACTTCCATAATGCAAGATTGTTAAAAAACTTGGGAAGAGTTCTGATGGAAAAACTGTATTCACTTTTATATCATGTTCAAACAGAAGTCCAAATAAACTGGCACTCAGATATGCTGCTGGAGGGACTATAGAGAAATTATGGTTGATCACGCTCACGTTTTGTGGTCTTGTCCCACTATTCAGACTTTCTGGAAGGATTTAGCAACAATCTCAGAAACCCTAAGTTTTAGTATCAGTTTGACATTAACACCCCTCTTTCTTGGACATATCCCTGATGGGCTAAGCAAAGATGATACCTAACTCCGGTAGGTCACGCTGGCAGCAAGTAAAAATGGCGTGACAAAATACTGGCTTTTTGTAAATTTAAACACCTACATCTTCTATAACAGTTGACCTACTCCATTCGACTCAAAAAACAATTGGGAGAACAACGGTGGTGTGCTTATTTAACTAATGAGACAGATCTTTCATAATTATTTGAGGTACCCTGTGCTATATTTTATTTTATATTTGGCAACTTAGCCTTGATTTACTGATCATCCCATTACCTCATATTTGTTTGATTTGTTGTTTCTTATTTGCTTTTTGCTCACTGTTCTTATAATGTGACAAATTGTCATAAATAAAAAAAACAAATAAAAAAGCAAAAACAGACTCACGGCTCTTCATTGACTTTGATTGAAGTCTTGACTAATTCCACAAGGGCCCCATCCAGTTTCAGAGTGACCTTTTCAATTGTGCTGATCCCATTTATCTCCTGCCGTTGGATCTGAATATTGAAACTTTCATAGCTTCCTTTACACTGGGACGCAAGGACGTAGTTGCAAGTAGAGTGAAGCTGGAAGAAATCTCCATCGAAAGTCTTGAAGTGATAGTTTCCCCATGTACTGCAGATCTGGTCATTGTGAGCAGGTCTCACTTCTTGATTAAGGAGAAAAATAAATATCCATTACACTCTAGTTCAAACTGTACATGACTTTTTGGTATTTTATCCTTCATCTTTGAAAAAAGAAATTACCTCTAAATACAGGTATTTTGGAAACCGTCTGAATCATGACTGAAAAAAGAAAGACACATTATCAATAATATCAGACAAAAGTATTATCCAGTTTACACAATAAGGTTGGATTTGATATATGCAGCTCTCTTTGTATGCCATTGACTGTACATACCAGTGCTGGCTGCTGATAGTCCAAGGTAGAGGGTGAGCCATGGTATTACCCATTCAAGTGGCATCCTGGCTGTTCTCATGATCCTTGAGTAGTCCCTGTCCTGACAGGGATGGTTGAGCTAACTGGTCCCGCACTACCAATATCATGTTATATATTTCATAAGGTGTTTGCAGTTAAGGAGGGGTTTTGGGTGTCAACCATTGTGGTTTTTGTCTCCATTGAGATCACACCCATGAAAAGGTTGATTATGACAACATGTCATCCTCATACAGTATATCGGCTTCATAATGCATCCTATCACTCTCACTCTCAATCTCCATAGCTCTATTTGTGTTAATCTTTAATAAACATCAACACACATTCTGTAGGTAAGAATCATCTTTTAAAGTCAACTGCCATATAGTTTCAGTTGGTGATACACTGCACTGAATGCTTTAATTATGGTATACTTTTTATCCATGTCCTGTTTCATGAGAGGGGAAGATTAGTTTATTTATTTATCTATGCATACTTAAACAAGAATTGTGTGATTTTCTCACTGATGCATAGCATTTTAAACTGTGGGTTGAACCTTTGTGCATGTTGAGTAAATTCAGAACTCACTTGCTTATACTTTGGTGATTTGGCAAAGACTTAGACACAGACGTTTGAAATGAGTGCTGACAGTCAAGCATGTTCCTTTTCCCAAATTTCATGCGGCCCTTTGTTGTGCTTATAGAATAGGAAACAGAAACTTATTCATTTCTGAGTTGTGGGTTGGTGGGAGCAATATTTATTTTTTTAAGATTAAGAAGTGAGAGTGGCATGCTGCTCATAGCAAGCAACCTTTTTATTGAGATCTTGATGTAAAATGAATGAAAGCCCTTATCCCTTAAGTATTTTGAGTTAGTTAGTAAACGTAAATAAACTGAAACCAGGGTCATCGCAAATTATTAACATTCATATTGCATGAAATTCCATCAGGAATTACAGCTTCAGTAAAGTGATGCTTAACACAATGTGAATTAATGACTAATACTAAAGGAGTTCTTCAAAATCAGTTACTCTTCACATCGGGAGGAGGGCATGCTTTTGAGGTGAGAGTAGAGGACATCATCAGTGGGGCCTACCTTCTTCCATCAGCTGTTGCATGTCTGCAGTCTTTTCACTGGCACCATGAAGACACCTGGTCAGGTACACAGGAAATCATGCTACACGCACCAGTATGCATCTGTTCGATGTTATGCCATGACCTGTCTCAAGCATCTAGTGAAACAGAGAAGCATGCAGTGTGAAAGCTTTTTCAGTTAGATTTACATGCAATCATTAAAAGATCCAAACAAGCAACCTTCTGCTGAAATGTTATCAATTTAGTTTTGTTACTTTCCTTTCTGGATTGTATTACACTGTGGCTTCATACAGAATGTAAGATATGATATTACAGTTACAGTATCACACCCTGTAAAAATACAAATATAATATCAATATTTGCATTTATACATTAGATATACTCCCGACTTAGAGGTAAACATGGGTAAGCTCTTTAATCAACACTGATCAGAGGCTGTCACATGCTGCCAAAGAACATGAAGCAAACAATGAAGATTGATTGTCAATCAGACCAGTTAATCAACACACACCCTGTCACACGGCAGACATCAAAGGCTTCTGTAAGCCTTAAAATATCTTTAACACAGCAATACTTCACACAATGCACCTGCACACTAACTGGAGAACCTGAATTTAGAGATTGAGACCAAAATGACTCATGCCACATAATTGTTGACTTTCTATTTCTGGGGAGAAGTTAAGCCACCATCTCTAACTTTTTAAAATGTATCATTTCCTAATATCAATTCTTGTAATTTTCAAATATCATATTGTTACAGTCCCTGAGCTTTGACTGTATTGTTTATTGTCCCCCTTTGGATGGAGCAGTGACCCCTTTGAAAACTAATGTGTTCAATTGACCAACTGCCAAACAATCAATAACAAAGGAACATTGCATTCTTTCAATGTAAAAAATATATTCCTGACATTTGCTTTTTGAAGAAGACCCGCAAATCAAAATATACAAAATGTGCAAGTACTTTGAATATTCAGTAAACAAAAGGAAACTACAAATCACTTGCTGATTAAAAGGACTATTAACTATGTAGTTTGTTCACCTTTTTTTTCTAAACTAAGCAACTGCATCACCATTCAAATGCACTTCAGTGTGTACATCAGTAAGCGAACACATCACAGTTGATAATATTACGACCGGCTCGGGAGTCGCAACATAAGGACGGACACCACATCAAGTTAGATTCAACAACCACCGCTGTCAGTTTATTTACAGGACACAAATAAACTGTCATGCGCAAATCCAACTGCAGACCAGGGTCTGGTGCCAGGCAGATGAGAGAGAGAGCGAGGGTGGAGCAAGGAGGCGCTTATATGTAGGTAACCCACATCTTCATCCACGTGCCCTCAATCACTCGTTAGGGAGCTGCACCTAGAAGTCAAAAGACACAGAATACACACACATGCACACACACACACACACACCCAAGCTCAAACATTCACAGCAGCACATAGAACCATACGTAACAATAACATCGTACACTTTGTTGCAGATTCTGTCTGTCCTCATTCAGTTCAGTACAAAATTCGACCTATACAAGCACTGTTTATAAAGATAATAGCTCAGCAGCAACCCATTTGAAACAATTATTAGATCATAATAGGTTTTGTGGCTTTTGCACTCTTTTTTAAACTTTTAACCAGGAAGTAACACACGGTTACTGATTCAGTCATTGACTGTTAGAGATGGACCGAAAGCAATACTGATATCGGTTCGTTACTGACTCAAACAGCTGGATCGGGTATCAAATTCCATTATTCTAATAAATATCAATTCAACACATTTATTTTTATGTATTTATTTGTTACATTTTGTTCAACAAGGTTAAGAAAGCAACGTTTAAAGCTACTACAAGGAACTTTCATTTTGCATTGAGTTTGGCGGTCCCTGTGGATGGAAGTGATGGTGTTTCCAAGCACCAGATTCCCTTTAGAAAAAAAGTAAAAAAAAATGTAAAGGTTACTGCAGCATAGTCTGACAGTCTGAACACTCAATGCTGGTTCTGGTTCTTCTGTTTGAGGTTTTAACTGTAAAATAATTCTGAGACCGATTGATTTCATACTTTCTTAACCGTGTCAGCGCTTTTAGATGGATGTGGCCCAATTCAACTTTTTTTTAGATAAAAAACTAAAATATTCTTTTACGAGCATCTCACATCAAATGTACATATAAAGATTACTTGTTTGCTGCAAGTAATATAGGCTTGCCCTGACACATAGCAAACAGAAAGGCTTGCTTTGGCAAAGTAATTAACACAGTGTCAGGTTTTTGTTTCTTTGTCTGTTTCCTGTAATATTTTGAAAGTTACTACAGGTTCATGTTTTGTTTTACTTCCTGCCTTTGTTTTGTTCCCACCTATTTTCCACCACACCAGAGTTTCATTAGTTAAATAGTTGTGTATTTAGATTGTGTGTTTTCCTTGTGTCAGGTCTTACTGTCACATTTTAGTAATTGCAGAATTGGACCAAAGAACCTAAACAGACTGACGAGTGGGCAGCAGGATGATTTTGGTTATTTTGTTTAAATTAAGGCTTACAAGCTGAATGTCCAAAGGCAGATAGGTTATGGGAGTGGAGCAATTGGTAGCAGGCAGGAAAACAGGGCACTCCAAAAGACTGGTAGCAGGGAATAAAATTGAAATACTAAGCACTGGGAAAACTAGAAATATAGGAAATAACGGCTAGAATATTACTTACAGGGTGAGATGCTGACAATCTGATACTGAGACAAGGAAAAACTAAAGACCATGACACACAGTCAAATTTAGCTGTAACCTGTTAATACCAGGTGAACTGGGGTTGTTTATATGTGTGTATTTGTGTGTGTAGCGGAGAGGGACTTTCTGATAACCTCAAACATGTTACTGAGGTTCTCTGTGAATAGAGGCTGCCCATGACCTTATATTCTGCTTGTGTTATTAATTATAACTTACTATAGCTAACTCAATATGCATTCTTGAATTTGTGATTGTTTTAAATTATTTTCTTGAATCAGTATTTTAATTTGCTCAAAGGTGGAGTCAGCAATTCTGGAGAAAGACTAATGATATTTGAACTCAACACCCAAACACATTGCTTCGGCTGGTCTGGCTGGGTGTTCGGAATATGCGAAATGTGCAGCAATAAAAATCATGAAGTCTCGGGTTTGAAAATGTCACTTAATGTAAACTTGGCTTTAATGAAGATCTAGAACAAGCTGATACAGAATACAAAATGTTCAAGTTAGAGTGGAAGTAGTATTTTACAACATATAACATAGATGAATTAAGATGAAATAAAAAAATAAATGTTTTGGAAGTTTGGCAATTAGGTCTGCTGTGTGGTTTCTATGCATCCGTCTGTCTTCTAATTGTATTCTGGTCGTCTGCATGCTATTTTGCTAATCAGGTTGATGATTCAAACACTTCTTGACATGAACAGTTTCATTCATACTACGCAAACATTGGCTCATTCGTGGCTATATATTCAAGCAGATGCACAGCATAATCCCATGACACTTCTCACTATCACTGCTGACAGCTCATATACCAACACTGTTTGCTACCTCAGCTTCCCCACCACCCCAACCTTCTCCTTATGTGCTTTGAATTTTTAGTAATGTTGATTGAACTAAATTTTAATGATCTGCTTATTTCTCCCAGCAGAATCATCATGAAGCACTCTCACATTGTCGCACAGGCTGTTCAGGTTGGGTCAACAGTTCAAAACCCAGCCCATCTCACTCTCTACCTATAGTCCCCTTATCTACTCGACCAAAAGCAGTCAAGATGCTTGATCCTGCTGTAATCACTTTGCCAGCCATGTTTTATTTAATACAAAATTATAGTTTAAGAATTATCTTTTTGGCCTGTATAAAATAAATAATACATGTATTTTAAAAAATATATAAAAGTTGATTACAACTATATTTGAATAGTAATGATTACAAAAAGAAGTGTGTAAGTATCAACAGCAAAACACTGAAACAATAAGCACATATTAGAAGTTGGCACCAAGACAATAGAAGAGATGAGACATAAATAGTGCTGCATAATTTTATTTGATAAATTGATAAATATACTCTCTACAAAGGCAATTGCTTTGTAAAAGATGTAATGATTGTTTAGACAATATGGGAAGACATTTTAACATCTCAAATTCATTAATGTGGTGACAGATGTTTTATTACACCAGTGTGGAGCTTCGCCTCCTGCGAGCAGGTTGTACTGCAGCTCTGGTGCAGTCTGTGTGGCCACAGCCACACTCCTCCACATAGGTGTATGAGTAGGGGACCACATCTCCATTCAGACAGTGCAAGTCAACAGTGCGATTGCTGGAGTGTGTCTCCCTACAGCAGGAGCAAGAATGCTGCAAAGCAGATGCTGCTTCGGAGTACCTGAAGAAAGCAGAGGGAGGGTTAGTTAATAAACTCAAAATCTGTACAAACCACACGTAAACCTTTTTAAGTTTCCACATCTTAATAGGTTTGCGACTATTCAGAGGAATGGCAAATATTAGTGATATCCTTACCTGGTGAAAGTGTTGCAGGATCCTTCACAATATGGCATATCTACCTCCTCGTAAGACTGACAGCTGTTGTGCGTAACATGCATTTTCATCGATACTACCTTGCAGGCCTTCTCCCTCTCCACGCCTTTTCAAAAGAGACCCACAATTAGCTTGTTTTCATTTAAGTACCCTTTACCCAAAAGTAAAGAAAATATCATACTCACAAATTTTACAACAGCCATTTGCTGCAGACTGAATTGTGCCCTGAGGAGGTAACAAATATGTTTAACATTTGTTCTCACATACACAGACAATCCAGATCCATTTGTTAAAAGTGATAAGAGATACTTACTGGTTGGCAGTTGCTCTGCTGGAATGGCGGGCAGACAATGTGTGAATTAAACGTTGTTAAAGTGTCACCGATCTTAATACAGGTGTAATGCTGACACTTATTCTCCGGTGGTGACCAGGTATCTCCCGGCTGGAAAGCAGTGAGATGGATGTACACACACACACACACACACACACACACACACACACACACACACACA